TTCTGTTGTCTCCTGGCTTTCAGTGTTTCTGATGAAAAGTCGACAGTAATCATATCATTCTTGCCCCTGTATATGATTAATTGTATTTCTCTGTCTGTTTTCAGGATTTCTTTTTTTCTTTTTTTTTTTTTTTTTAGTATTCAGCTGTATGATGATGATATGCCTAGCTTTAGTTTTGAGTTTGCTGAGCTTCTTGCATCTTTCCCTGTATTTGGGAAATTTTAAATTACTTCTTTTAATAGTTTCTCTGTTTAATTCTCTCGTTCTGGAACTCCACTAACATAGTTTACCCCAGGTGACATTCTATAGGTTACCAAAGCTCTGACCACCTTTTTCCAATCTTTTTTCCTTCATTTCAGTGTTGATAGTTTCTATTGTCGTAGCATCAAGTTCACTGACCCTGTCTTTTATCTTCAGTCTGCTGTTAAGCCCATTTAGTGAATATTTTGTTTCTGATATTGTATTTCTTATTTCTGTAATTTCCACCTGGTTTTGTTTTGTTTTGTTTTATTTTATTTTATTTTTTGAGATGGAGTCTTGCTCTGTCTCCCAGGCTAGAGTGCAGTGGCGTGGTCTCAGCTCACTGCGAGCTCTGCCTCTTGGGTTTACACCATTCTCCTGCCTCAACCTCCTGAGTAGCTGGGACTACAGGTGCCCACCACCACGCCCGGCTAATTTTTTTTTTTTTTTTTTAATGGAGATGGGGTTTCACCGTGTTAGCCAGAATGATCTTGATCTCCTGACCTTGTGATCCACCTGCCTCGGCCTCCCAAAGTGCTGAAATTACAGGTGTGAGCCACCATGCCTGGCCGCCTCCGGTTATTTTTTATAGTTTCTATTCCTCTGCTGAGATTTCCCCATCTCTTCACTGTACTTTCCTCTAAATCCTCAAACATCTGTATAATTAATGGATCCTTTAACTTTTTTGTCTGTTCATTCTAATATCTAGATCACATTGAGATCTGTTAATTTTTTTCTTTTTTTTGTGAGTCTGCTTGCCAGGGAATGGGATCGTTCTCTTGTGACTTTTTCTTTTCTTTTCCTGACTATCACGTTTTCCTATCTTTTCTCATGTCATGTGGGTTTTAACAAACAATTAATTTTTTGGTCTCTGTCATGGGTTTGTTTGTTTGTTTTTGTTTGAGACAGAGTCTCACTGTGTCGCCCAGTCTGGAGTACGGTGGCACGATCATGGCTCACTGCAACCTCCGCCACCCAGGTTCAAGCGATTCTCCTGCCTGAGCCTCCTGAGTAGCTGGGACTACAGGTGTGCACCACTATGACTGGCTAATTTTTTATTTTTTTTTGAGACAGAGTCTCACTCTGTCGTCAGGCTGGAGTGCAGCGGCGCTATCTCAACTCACTGCAACCTGTCTCCTGGGTTCAGGTGATTCTCCTGCCTCAGCCTCCTGAGTAGCTGGGACTACAGGCACGTGCCACCATGCCCAGCTAATTTATTTATTTTTTTTTGTATTTTTAGTAGAGACGGGGTTTTACCATATTGGCCAGGATGGTCTCAATCTCTTGACCTTGTGACCCACCTGCCTTGGCCTCCCAAAGTGCTGGGATTACAGGTGTGAGCCACTGTGCCCAGCTTAATTTTTATATTTTTAGTAGAGATGGGGTTTCATCATGTTGGCCAGGCTGGTCTCAAACTCCTGACCTCAAGTGATCCACCTACCTTGGCCTCCTAAAGTGCTGGGATTATAGGCGTGAGCCATTGTACCCCACCATTTTTTTTTGAAATGGAATCTCCCTCTGTTGCCCAGGCTGGAGTTCAGTAGCACGATCTCAGCTCACTGTAACGTCTGCCTGCTGGGTTCAGGTGATTCTTCTGCCTCAGCCTCCCAAGTTGGGATTACAGGTGCACACCACCATGCCTGACTAATTTTTGTATTTTTAGCAGAGATGTGGTTTCACCATGTTGGCTAGGCTGGTCTCGAACTTCTGACCTCAAGTGATCCTTGACCTCCTGACCTCAAGTGACCTCAGCCTCCCAAAGTGCCAGGATTATAAGGAGTGAACCACCATGCCCGGCCAGCCATGAGTTTTTTTTTGAAATTGCATACTAGGCTGGGCACGGTTGCCCATGCCTGTAATGCCAGCACTTTGGGAGGCCAGGGCAGTCGGATCACGAGGTCAGCAGATTGAGACCATCCTGGCTAACACGGAAACCCCATCCCTACTAAAAATATAAGAAATTAGCTGGGTGTGGTGGCGTGCACCTGTAGTCCCAGCTACTCGGGAGGCTGAGGCAGGAGAATGGCGTGAACCCGGGAGGTGGAGGTTGTAGTGAGCTGAGATCGCGCCACTGCACTCCGGCCTGGGAGACAGAGCAAGACTCTGTCTCAAAAAAAAAAAAAAAAAAAGGAAATTGCATACCAGACATTATGAACGATGTGTTGTATAGTGTCTGGATTATGTTTTTTCTTTTGTTTTAAAGAGCATTGGGGCCAGGTGTGGTGGTTCACACCTCTCATCCCAGTACTTTGGGAGGCTGAGATGAGAGGATTGCTTGAGCCCAGAAGTTCAAAACCAGACTGAGCAACATGGCAAGATTTTATCTCTACAAAAACAAAACAAAACAAAAAAACATGCCAGGCGTGGTGGCACACGCAATTCAGAAGGCTGAGGCAAGAGGATTGCTTGAGCTTGGGAGGTCAAGGCTGCAGTGAGCTGTGATCACACCACTGCACTCCAGTCTGGAAGACAGCAAGACTGTTTCAATAAACAAAACAAAATAAAAAATAGTGTTGACTTTTGTTCTGGAAAGTCGTTAATTTACTGCTGACCTCTTTGTTCCTGTTAAGGCTTGGCTTAAAGCTTTGTTGAGGCAGATCTAGACTGGTCTTTAATCTAGGACATCCTTTCTCCAATGGGATTTCTCATCTGATTTACAGAAAATAATTTGAGTTACTATTATATTATTTTCTTCTTTTTCCAGAACAGTCTCATGGTAGGCATGAGTTACTATTTTCCAAGTTCTCTAAGGATGGTTATACTAATACTATACTGTAAATAGATAAATGAGAGAAGGGAATGCATTGCATACAGTAGCTGCTTTAATGCATTAGTACTTAATTCTCATGCTACATCCCTGGTAGAGAAAGGCTACTCTAGGGTATCGTCTGTATCTCTAATGATGACCTTTCTGGTGTCTGAGGTGAATGTATTTGGGTGTTAGTGAAGTCTTTCCATTAGGATGCACCTGAACTCTATTGTTGTATGGTGTTTTGTGACTTTTAGCGTCTTCCTTCTGCCCTCATCCCTTTAGCAGCTGTTCTCTTTTAGGCCTTATATTCTGGACATATGCAACCCATACTTAGGCCAAGGTACCATGGAGTACTTCCACCCAGGCTTGTGAGGTGCCCCTCTACACAGTTCCTTTTTAGAACTATGCTCCTAAAGATTCCCTACTTCTGCAGCCTTAGTTGGATTGCTGTACCCTGTTTGGCCTTCACCTCCCTTTCCTTGGTTGGAAAATTGAGCTCAGGCAGAGAGCCAAGGTAAACATGGGCACATCTTGTCTGTTTTTCTTCTCTCCATGATTGTATTCTTGCTCTGACTATTGTCCTTTGCTTGAAAATAATTGATGTATATATTTTGTCAGTGTTAAAAGTCATTCGTGGTGGAGTTGGATATTATCCATAATGAGTTACTTTGTCAGGGCCAGTAGTGGAAATTATGGGATTTGTTTTGTGATCATGGAATTTGACCTGTTACTGGTTCTTACCTATGAAATCAATAACTAGTTTCAGTACATTCTTCGAGAAAGTTTTAAATTGTTTTGAATTATATTACCAATTAAGTAAAATATGAGGTAGCACTGTTTTAGAATTAAATGCCTGAAACCTATTGATGTTTCTTTTAGGACATTTAATTTAATGTTTATAGCCAGTCACTTTTTGTGGAGGTAACATTTGTTAACTTTTGAGGAAATGTTTAAATAACAGTATGATCTTTTAAGGTAGAAATAAGATTATCTTTGAAAACTTCTGTATTGGTAATAAGTTTTGTGAAGAAAAATAAAGAAAAGAATGGGAAAGAAGGGCAACCTGTACAGTAAAAGATGTTAATGTCATATCAGGTTTTAAAAATGTGGGTAAGGCTAAACTATAGCATCTAAGAGTACACACTTGGGTCATAAGCAATAAGGAAATACAAGAAAGTGATTGCTTTACAGGTCATATTAGTGGTTAAGTTCTTTTGAAGGGAGGAAGGGGGCATGAAGTACTTCCTTTGTTTTATGTGATATTCTCTCTCTTTTTTTTTTTTCAATAAAAAGCTTTATTTTTTTGCTTTTAGTAAAAACTTGTAGATCATTGACGTATAGATGGGAAACATTGGCTAACTGTTTCCTCTCCTATGATGTGTGTATGATCAGACATCTTCAGACACAAACTTATGCCCTCAGTCTTCCTAATGACCTTAGGATGGATTGAGCCTTAAGCCTTAAACATCTCCCTCTTAATGGAAGTAATCTGGTAGTAAACTGAGGACAGGGATTTTTGGGGCTGAGAAAAACGTGATGAAATGTGCCTTAATATTTAGAAGGTTGTCAAGATAAACTTGGTCTGCTTCAAAATTTCACTTGTTTCTCTATAGTCTTCTCTCCATGCCACTTGAAATATATTAGAACGATGATGTCAGAGGCTTAACCTGATACGAATACTTAATTTTTTAAAAGTTAATACCAGTTACCTTAATCATAGGTTTGATCTGCTTCTGTGTATGTTGACTTTATGTTTTTCTGTTCTTTGTAAATCCAGCTTTCATTGCTGATTCATGCTATTGGTAATGAGAATCAAGAAGCTCAGTAAAAATCTTTCATCCTTATTTTTAAAAAGCCAAAGGTTTAAGTAACTTGCCTATTGGCAAAGACATATTAAGTAGAGAACAGTATGTTATTCCTAAGTCATTTTAATGCTTACTGCATTTAAGAAAAAAAAGCTTGTTTTATGGGAGAAAATTACCATAGGGTTTTTTGTTGTTGTTAACAGAATAAATTTAAACGTGAAGAGAAAACAAACGGATGGAGAATAGACAAAGCATTCCGTAAGTATTAAGACCTCTTTTACAAAGTATTACTTGGAGAGCCTAAAAAATGACCAGTCTTTTGTCTTTGGCTCCAGTGTGTTTTAGATTTGTTTTCTTCTTGTATTGGCATAAGAGGAAGAAGTCTGAAATTTTTCTGTTTAGCAGTGTGGGTCTGGTACTTGCTACAAATATATAGGCAGGAGATTATCCAGAATATCTAGGTGCAGGTAAACAGTTCTAAGTCCAAGAAGTTATGGAGGGATTGATGCTACCACTTCTAAGTGTTATTTATTCTGAAGGAACTGTATTGGAGGAGATAATTGTTTCTGGAAGACAGTACTATTAGTTATATAGATGGTTCTTTCTAGTTCTGAATGACTAATCAGTCATTCAGTCTATAACACTGACCACCTACTATATGGTAGTCATTGTTCTAGGTATTGAGTATGTAATGGTGGAAGATATATGGCAGATGAGAATCCTGCATTTAGAGCCCTAAGTCTAATTGGATGGGGGAAGAAAGATAGTGGATAAGCATAATTTTAGGTAGTGATTCATTTCCAAAAAGAAGATGAAAGAGAGGGTGGCTGTTTAGATCTCTTTTTTCCTAATGATCATTGGATCATTAGGGAAGTTCTGTCTGAAGAGATATACTAGCATTTGAATTTAGATCTCGTCTGAAGGAATGATAGGTATCTTTCAATTTCTAACTAAAATCCTCATTAAAATTAACATTTTTCTTTAAGTCTAGAGAAAGACATCTAAGGATCTATAAAGAAAAATAAATTTACTGTTTAAAATAGTTCTTGTAATTTTTTATTGGAAGATAGGTCTTTTTCTTTTTCACCACACCGGTGGACAGGAATATATTTTTTGTGGATTTATAATTATCAGTATTTTATTATTAATGAATATATTCAATGTCCATTTAGTCATAAGATTAGCCATAGTGCTAATTTTAGAAAAAAAAAATCCAAATGTAGAGAGTACTTACATTATGTAGCATGTACATTTATTTTATGAGTAGACAGTAAGGTAGGTGGGTAGATCCTACACCCAGTGTTTTATCAGGTCTTTAGGGAAACTGCTTTGCGGAATGATTCTTAGAAGATCTGGAATATTGTGTTCCTCGGCCCATTCCGTGTTAGAGAAGTGGTCCTGAAACTTTTCATTAAGTTTAACACATTATAGTCAGAAAATAATTCATAAATCTATAAACAGTCTGTTTAGAGTGTGAAGCCTTTTATAGACCATTATAATAGATATCGTTAAAATTTATTGATCTTAAACACGATACAGTGTTGTATGCCTGTAGTCCCAGCTACTCTCAGGGGTCGCTGAGGCAGGAGGATCCTTTCAGCCCAAGAATTCGAGGCCAGCCTAGGCAACAGAGCAAGATCCTATCTCAAAACTAAAAACAACTCATTGATTTGGGGGCTTTCTGTTGGATTTTTTTTTTTTTTTTTTAGTTAAAACCTATATAGGTTTTTTAAGAGAACTTACATTTTGAATTTCTCTGAGAACCATGTGGAGATCCTTTATGATTCTTTGAGTCTATGTCTTTCAGAATCATTGTGGAGAGTCAGAACAAATTAAGTCTGGGTCAACAGTGAAATAGGGCCTTCAGGAATCCCAGATTTGGGTTTAGTTTCCTGAAATTCTTTTTATTTTAGTATATACCTTCTTTTCTGAGGCTATCTTGTAATCAAACCAGTCTTTGGCTTATGTGCATAGAGCACCATTTTCTCTACATTTACTGTAAGATTAGATGTAAAGTTCAAGCAAGGATTTGCCTCCTGGCCTGGATTCATTCTTGGAGTGTTCACTGATTACTTTCAGATATAATGCTGTTGATAGGTATTTAGTGGGCATGTTCCTGATTAAATTCATTTACTTCCCACTTTGCTGATTCTTATAAGAGTAAATGGTGAAATGGTTGTGATAAAGGTAGGGCATATGGTGGTGAATAGGCATTTCAAGGACTTCTCAGTCCATAAAAAAATTGATTTATATTTACAGACAGTTCAAAGTATAGTTGGAGTTTTGACAAAGAATATGCCTGGGTAACCACTATCCCAAACAATAGAGGAAATGTTTTCATCACTTCACAAGGCCTATTATGTCCCTTTCTGGACAATCAAATGCTGTCTTCCTGGCCCATGGCAACCACTATTTTCATTTTAATCACCATAGATAGCTTAGTGTGTTCTAGAATATCTTATACATGGTATCATACAGTATGTACCCTAGTATCTGTTTTCTTCCACTCAGTATGTTTTTGAGATTGTCTCAGATTATTGCATGTATCAGTAGTTCCTTTTGTTTTGTTTAAAACTAGTTTATTTGTAATAAACAAATTATTACAAATTTGTAGTAAACAAATTATTATTTGTAATAAACTAGTTTATTCCTTTTGTTGCTGAGTGGTGTTCTGATGTGAATTTACCTATTTCTCTGCTAAGACAAAGCTATTTTATTGCTGAGTGGTGTTCTGTTGTGTACTTGTTTATCTGTTCTCCTGCTGATAGACAAACCCATTTGCTTTTGATGTTATGATACTTGAAAAGCTAGAAGTAGTTTTGAAAAATAAAAACTTGAAAGTTCTTTTCCTTTTTTTTAAACAGAGGAAAAGCGCCCTTTTGACTTCGATTTTTTTGCTCATTTGCTTCAGAAAGTTCTTGCTGAAGAAGAGAAAAGAAAACAAAAATCTGTTAAAAATCACAGTTTAAAGGAGAAGAAATCCACCAAACCACGGAAAAATGTAAAAGGTATTGATTTTAAAGGGAAGTGTGCTAGTTTACTTAGTAGTAATAAACTCGTAATGTTGTCCCTCAGGCCTTTGAGAGTTCATGTGTAGCTCAGGTAGTTAAGATCATCAAAGCATCCAGTTGGAGGGAGTATATCTTTTTTCAATCAATTAGTTATCTGGTCCAAAACAATAGCTTTCTTTTAAAATTTTTAACTGGCATGATTGGGTTATTTGATATCTTTCTAGCATAGAGGATAGTTGTAGCCAGTCAAAGAGCATCAGAATTTGGAGTGTCGTATTTCATGTTTGGTTATTTATTATCATTTTCCTCTGTAAAACCAATCTGGTATAAAATTCTAGTATTAAAAAAATGGAACTCGAATCTTTTGGGGTTATGACTAGACTGTATTGGTTGAGCATAACATTTCTGAAGGCTAATGTTGACTTGTAAAAGGTAGAAAGACGTTGTATATATGTAGGTATTTTTATTTTTAGGCTTATGTTTTCTTAACTATTTGAACTCTGATCTATGAGGACAATGTTTAGCTGTAATCACATAAAGAAGATGCTTGGAACTATAGGGAACCTTATATGTTAGCTAGTTTACGTTTTAGCCCCTTTTGTATTGGTTTTAATCACCAAGAAACAGCCCCAGCGATTGTAAGACACTTTTTCCTAAGGACTCACAGTGTGAGTAGTGGCAGAGGCAGAACTGAAACCTAGGATTGTGAGAGCCTGTGTTGGGGGTCCCCACGACCACCGCCGGGGTTTGAGTATTCACCAAGAAGACTAAGGATTCAGCATCCTTTGCCTGGAACATACCAAAATTTCAGACATTCAAAAGGAAAGCAGTTCAGCATAAACCACATTATACGGCTAAGGCACAGTGAACCACTCTTATCAGTTAGGGTGGTAGGAACTGTTCCCAGAACCAAATTCTGAGACATGACCTGAGGGCCAACCTTGTAAGGAGGATTTTCAAAGGATAGCAGTCAAGCCTGCTAAATTAACTCTTTTCTGTTCAAAGCTGGGCTAGAATTTCTTCTTCTGGAGCATATCTTTTAAAAAGTAGTATTGATAACTGCAAAATACCTTTATTCTCAGTAATCTTTTTTTTTTTTTTTACTTGTACATAATCCTAGAAGATTAAAATATATATCTTCTTGTGATTATCACGTTACAGGTGATAACATGAGTAACTCACTGTATCTTATTTAATGTAAGAACTTTTTTTTTTGAGACAGGGTCTCACTTTGTTGCCCAGGCTGGAGTGCAGTGGCCCGATCTTGGCTCACTGAATTCTTCACTGCTCGAGTTCAAATAGTTCTTTCACCTCAGCCTCCTGAATTGCTGGGATTACAGGCACGTGCCACCATGCCTGGCTAATTTTTGTAATTTTTCGTAGAGATGGGGTTTTACCATATTGGCCAGACTGGTCTTAAACTCCTGACCTCAAATGATCTGCCCACCTTGGCCTCCCAAAGTACTGGGATTACAGGTGTGAGCCACCACGCCCAACCAGAATTTTTTTTTGAGATGGAGTTTTGCTCTTGTTGCCCAGGCTGGAGTGCCTTGGCGCCATCTCAGCTCACTGCAGCCTCCACCTCTCCGATTCAAGCGATTCTCCTGCCTCAGCCTCCCAAGTAGCTGGGATTACAGGCATGTGCCACCATACCCAGCTAATTTTTGTATTTTTAGTAGAGATGGAGTTTCACCATGTTGGCCAGGCTGGTCTTGAACTCCTGACCTCAAGTGATCCACCTGCGTCAGCCTCCCAAAGTGTTGGGATTACAGGCATGAGCCACCATGCCCAGCCCAGAGTTTTGCTGTTATCGCCCAGGCTGGAGTGCAATGATGCGATCTTGGCTCACTGCAACTTCTGCCTCCCGTGTTCAAGTGATTCTCCTGCCTCAGCCTCCTGAGCAGCTGGGATTACAGGTGCCTGCCACCGTGTCCAGCTAATTTCTGTATTTTTAGTAGAGATGGGGTTTCACCATGTTGGCCAGGTTGGTCTCTAACTTCTGACCTCAGATGATCTGCTCGCCTCAGCCTCCCAAAGTACTGGGATTACAGGTGTGAGCCATCGCACCCGGCCTGTATTAAATGCATTTTCAATTTACAGTATACTCAACTTATGATGGGTTTATTGGGATGAAACCCAGTATAAGTCAAGGAGCATCTCTATATGTAATTGTTTTTGTTTAATAAAAATGAGATTAAAAAAAAAGATTTTATGTGTATCTTGTTCTGCTTGATTTTTTAATGCAATAGTATCCTTTGAAATTTTCACGTGACTGCATATAAACTTACCTCATTACTATTATTGGCTCCATGGATTTTTATGTATTATTTAGTCATTTCCCATTGGACATTTTAGGTTGTCTTTAGGTTTTTTGTTCTTGCAAATAAATACTACAGAGGACATCTTTGAGTCTCTTTTCCACCTTCACAAATTTTTCTTTAGGTTGTTTGCATATTTATAGTCGTTTCTCTTGTTTTCAGTCAAAAAAATTGCCTGTGAAAGAGTGAATGATGATCCAGATGAGTCTATGAGTTCTAGAATTTCAGACACAGAAAGATCTCAGAAGGATGCTCAGACAGTTGACGAAGAGTCTCTGACCTTATCAGGGAAGGATGCAGAACAGGTTGCATTAGAAGTAGACCTAAATCAAAAGAAAAGAAGAAGGAAGAAGCAAGATGGAGCTAATGAACTGGAAGTAAACAATCTTTTAGAAAATGCCACTGTTCAGGCGGGTCCTTCTAAAGGAGAAAAACACAAGAGTAAGTTTCTTACATATTTAAAAAGCCTCTATATTACTTGAGAAGACATGTACAGCAATGTGGTATGTAACTTAATTTTCTGTCTAGATAGCAATTAATGGTGCTTATTAATTGGTTCTGTACTTATGGTACTGTGCTATTTATTTTTAATTAAAGAAAAAAGTTTATTGTAAAAAGAAAATTAAACAAATTAAAGTGGGGAGATTGTTCTCTAAAGTTTGTTTCTAAGTTGTGTCACCTCCTGTGCATTGCCATTAACTATGATTAGAAATCACATGTATATGTAGTTTGAAGTGTGTTGCTTATGTCTGTTAATAAAGCACAGGTTTTCATGTTGCACTTCTACAGAGCACCTCTGTGAACCCACAAGGGGTTAATTCCTATAAAAGAACTAGAGGAATATGTGTTCCTTCCATTTTTCTTTTTTACTCTTTGAATGCAAACATATTGCCACTTAAGAGTTGCTTGGGATGAGGGCTAAGAATTTGAGGGGGAGTCTTGGTCCCTTTCCTTAAGAATTCATATGTACATTATTTAAAGCCGATAACCAAGGAAAAGGTAGGAGCAGATGAGAACAACCTTTCTATAAAATTTATGTTTTCTGTAGTTCAGATTTACCAATCTGATTTTAATATAAGAGTCCTGGTAGCTAACATAGCATGCTTTGTAGGCATCACAATATTATGCTCTTTTTTGGCTTATCATTAAAGTCATTACGTATAATGCAGAACAGCTTAATGATTCACAACCAGATATTAGAAATCAAACAGACCTTGCTTTAAATTCCAGCTTTTTTACTTGCTTAAGTATTGCATTGGGCAAGTTACTTAAGATCTCTGAACTCAGGGGGTTCTCTATGAGGTTAATATTAATATCTTTTAACAGGTTTGTTTCAAGTATTAAATGAGATAATGCATTTGATGGACTTAAGGGTTCCAGCCACTTAATAAGTACTTAATAAATGATAGCTATTACTTTGTTACTAATTGGTATACTTCTGAAGGAGCAAAAGAATAGTTAAGTCAACTTTTAGTTTCCTTACTTGACATATAAAATAAGCCACTTTAAATACTTAGAATTTAAGATAAAAGAAAGATGCTATAAACTGTCCAAGAAGCTTGGGCTGATCCTCATCTATGTTAAGTTTTTATTGTGGTCTAAAAATAAGATGTGTGCCTTGCAAATAGGAATTTGAATGTTGAATGGATTAAGGTTTTGTAGGAAAAGACAGTGTTATAGGTAAACTCCTTTGTGCTTTAAAAAATATGTTTTTGCTGTCATTTTTTAGAATAACATGCATTTTGTATTTGTAGATAAATGTCAGGCTATAAGGCCCGAGGTAAAGGAAGGTGAATGCAGTAAGGAGCAGATGCTTTCCTGCACACAAAACGTAGATGGCATTGTGGGTTTTGCCTCCAGTGAAAAAGTTGAGAAAAGAACTGACCCCATCCTTTCATTAAGGTATTTTCTGTGTGTTTTCTGGTTTTACCCACATCTGTTGATTACTGAGAAAGGAGTGTTGAAGTCTCCATCTGTAATTGTGGATTTGCCTGTTTCTTTTTTTCAGTTCTATTTGTTTTTGCTCCATATATTTTGAAGCTCTGTTGTTAGGTGTGTACATATCTAGGATTGTTTTGTCTTTTTGGTGAAATTCCCTTTATCATTGTGTACTATCCTTCTGGTATTGCTCTTTTTTTCTGATGTTTACTTTGCCATTGTAGCTTTCTTTTGGTTGGTGTTTACATGGGTTTATCATTTTCTATAATGATTTTCTTTGTCTTTGGTTTTCATTAGTTTGAATATGATGTGTCCTGCTCTGTGTGTGTGTGTGTGTTTTAAAATATTAATTTGTAATATAAAAACATGAGATTTACCCTCTTAACAGATTTTTTTATGTGTACTATACAGTATTGTTAACTATAAGCACAGTGTTGTATTGCCGATCTCTGGAATTTTTTTTTACTTTGCATAACTGTACCTCTGTACCTATTGAACAGCAACTCCCATTTCCTCCGCCTCCCAGCCCTTGGCAATCATGATTCTTTCTTTTTCTTTTTTGTTTTGTTTGTTTTGTTTTGTTTTTGAGATGGGGTCGGTTTCTGTCACCCAGGCTGGAGTGCAGTGGCACGATCTCAGCTCCCTGCAACTTCCACCTCCCAGGCTCAAGCAATCCTCCCTTCTCAGCCTCCCAAGAAGCTGGGACCACAGGCATGTACCGCTACACCTGGCTAATTTCTTGTATTTTTGTTAGAGATGGAGTTTCACCATTTTGCTCAGGCTGGTCTTGAACTGAGCTCAGGTGATCCACCTGCCCTGGCCTCCCAAAGTACTGGGATTACAGGTGTGAGTCACAGCGCCCAGCCTCATGCAGTAGTTTTCCTTCTGTGACTGGCTTATTTCACTTAATGTAATGTCCTCAACTTTCATCCATATTGTAGCATATGAGAAGATTGCCTTTTTTATGACCAAATAATATTACAGTACATGTATAGGCCACATTTTCTTCATCCATTCATTGGTTGATGGACATTTAGGTTGTTTTTGTCTGTTGTCGTCACTGAACATGGGAGTGCAAATATCTCTTTGAGGTCCTGATTTCACTTCTTGTGGATGAATACCTGGAAGTAGGGTTGCTAGATCATGTGGTAGTTCTACTTTTAATTTTTTGAGGCCCCTTCATACTGTTTCCAATAGCGGGTGCACCATTTTACATAACCACCAACAATGTACAAGGGTTCCAGTTTTTTCCACATCTTCTTTGATACTTGTTATCTTTCATTTTATTAATAATGTCCTTCTGAACAGGTAGAAGGTGGTTTCTTATGGTTGTTTTGATTTGCATTTCCCGGATAATTATTGAGTTGAGCATCTTTCGTAGCTGTTAGCCATTTGTGTATCTTCTTTGGAGACATGTCTATTCAGGTCCTGTGCCCGAGTTTTTAATTAGGTTATTTTCTTTTTTGCTGTTGAGTTTTGAGAATTATTTATGTAGTTGGGATTTTAGCCCCTTATCAGAAATATGATTTACACATTTTCTCCCATTCCATAGATTGCCTTTTCACTCTGCTGTTTCCTTTGGTGTACAGAAGCTTTTTAGTTCAATGTAGTCCCATTTGTCTAATTTTGCTTTTGTTGCCTATACTTTTGGTGTCATATCTAAGAAACTATTGCCAAAAACAAACTTAAAGCTGTTTACTGTTTTTAAGCATACAATTTAGTAGCATTAATTACATTTACATTGTTGTGCAGCCATCAGCACTATTTCTAAAGCTGTTTTATCACTGCAAACAGAAAACCTGCACCCATTATGCAGTAATTCCTCATTCTCCCCTCGCTGCAACCACTGATAATCTCTAATCTGCTTTCTGTTTCCCATCCATGTACTAATCAGGACCAGACTTGCTTAGTTTGAGATCAAATTAGGCCCATTAAGAGTGGTAAGGTTGTAGACAACTTTCTGTTTCTATGTCTAATCTAGATATTTCACATAAGTGGAATCATGCTATTTCTCATAGTTGTTTGTTCCTAGGTGACAGATATCTAAAGTGTGACTTCAGAGATACACCTAGTTTCGTAAACTACACAAAACCACTCATGACTTTTTCTAATTTTTAAAATAATTTTTAAAAATTGTGACAGGGTCTTACTCTGTTGCTCCAGCTAGAGTGTAGTAGCATGATCATAGCTCACCACAACCTTGAACTCTTGGGCTCAAATGATTCTATCACCTCAGCCTCTCGAGTAGCTGGGACTATAGTCATGGGACACCATGCCTGGCTAATTTTAAAAACATTTTTTAGTGGAGATGTTTTCCAGGCTGGTCTCAAACTCCTGGGCTCAAGCGATCCTCGCACCTCAGCATGAGCCACTGTGGCCCTAACTTTTCTACTTTAGGGGAAAACAACCTTGTAATGATCGTTAAAGTCCCAGTTGGTTTTGGAAAACAAAGAGTTGATTGTAAAATTGTCGTGTACACAAGAGTAAAGGCTCAAGAATGGTAAAGACAGGTTTAAAAAATGCCAGCTTTGGAGAGGGACTGTCCTAGACTAATTTTCAAGCTACAGTAACTAAAGCAGCATGGTATTGGTACAGGGTTAGATGAATTGACTCAGCGGAACTGAATGTAGAGTTTAGGAAGAGACATTTAGGAATCTGTCATATGGCAGAGGTAGCTTTAGAAATTAGCGGGCAAAGATTGAACTAACTATTCATCAGATTGAGCTCAGATTTGAAAACCATAATATTTAATCCTCGTGTTACCATATCCGCTAACTTCCTGATGGATTGAAGACTACATGTATAAAACAAATCTTTACAACTTTTAGAAGAAATGTAGAAAAATATCTTTGTAATGTCAAGGCCTGAGGTAAGACATTTCTATTAAAACATAGAAAACACAGACTTTAAAAGATAAGATTGGTAAGTTTGATGGTAGTAAAATTAAGTAGTTCTGTTAACAAATCCTCCATAAAGAAAATAAAAGGCAAGTTACTGATCGGGAGATTTTATGTGTAATATCTAGACAATAAAAATATATAGAGAACTCTTGCTGATAAGTCAGGAAAAGATGAACACCTAGTAGAAAAAATGAGCGAGAAAAAAGAAAAAAAAAAGGTATGGCTAAATGTGAATATGTGTTGAAATGGTCAGTGCATGACTCTCAGTTATATTATTGTTAGTTGAAATTTATTTTGTGATCGAGTCTTGCTCTATCGCCCAGGCTGGAGTGCAGTGGTGCAATCTCAGCTCACTGCCGCCTCGACTTCCTGGGCTTAAGCGTCGGACTGAGTAGCTGGGACTACAGGCACGTTCTATAACACCTGGCTGATAATTGAAATATTTTTTAATATAGTAGTTCTCACTTTGCATAGGACTATGTTAACTGCAACTTGAGCTTATTGGAGCTGTGTCTTTGCTTTATATGACTTTTGGTTACATAGTACCCTGCATAGCAAGGCTTGCCTATATAAATTTTAATGAAAGCTAATTCCTAAATGTTACTATTATTTTACGCATGTTTGATTTGTGAACCACATTTAATAATTTCTCATTTTGAAGCCTTTTTTTTTTTTTTGAGACAGAGCTTGGCTCTATCACTCAGGCTGGAGTGCAGTGGTGTGATCACCTCCCGGGTTCAAGTGATTCTTTTGCCTCAGCCTCCTAAGTAGGTGGATTATAGGCCTGCACCACCATGCCCAGCTAGTTTTTGTATTTTTATTAGAGATGGAGTTTAACCATGTTGGCCAAGATGGTCTCAAACTCCTAGCCTCAAGTGATTGACCCACCCCGGCCTCCCAAAGTGCTGGGATTACAGGCGTGAGCCACTTTGTCCGGCCTTCATTTTGAAATTTCTTAAGCATGTTCCTAAACGTGTAAATTTGTGGCTGCTGCTTTCTCTGGAGGTACAGTTTCTGTAACATGGTGCAAGATGGATCATAGAAAAGCTAATATAGCAGTTTGTATTATTCTGTAATTTGAAGCAGCATCTTGCAAAATGGTGATTTTGTGTATTTAAAATTTTTTAAAATAATTATTATAAAATATATATTATTAGGAATTCTTTTCTCTCTGATATATTTTCACTTTTTTAGTAATCAACAAGATGCCGCATCAGTAGCAACTGAGTCTTCAGAATCAAGCACTTCAGATTTGCCTTCATTAGAAGTTGGAATTAGAGCATCGTGTGAGGTGAATGATGCTGAGAGTAGTTGTACAGAAGAAAGAAATGTTGACCTAAAAAATAATTCACTGTGAGTATTTTATACGATAGGATTTATTTATAAAATTTTGATAAGGTTCTTAAATGATAATAATGTTGCTTTATTTAGGGATTCAAGGGGACTATTAATACATAGTTTATTAATAGTTGAGGGAATCATTTAATATGTAATTATACTGTAGTCTGTTCAGAGTGTAACATCAGGTGTTTTTATATTTAATTGCAGAAAGATTCTCTTTCATATTTGTTGTATAATATATGAATTTTAGGAAGGTGGTAACTTATGAAATTCGAAAACAATTTGGAAGCCTAAATATTTGCCGTGAGATTTTACTTTTGCTTGGTTTGAGTTATTTTTTATGCCTGGTGTCAAAATAATAGATTTTAATATTGGTGATTTCAAGGAAGTGTATCTTCCAGTATGCAGATACTGGTTAAATTAATATCTTCTCAAGAAATGATTAAAAGCATCATAAAAATCTCCCTTTGAAGAGATATCTGAAGGTTTTATACTTCCTTTTAATCTTCCTCATAATTCCTCATCTCATATGGACTTAAAAGCTATTCAGTTTATGGGCTGGGCACAGTGGCTTACACCTGTAATCCCAGCACTTTGGGAGGCCGAGGCAGGCGGATCACAAGGTCAGGAGATGGAGACCATCCTGGCTAACATGGTGAAACCCTGTCTCTGCTAAAAATACAAAAAATTAGCCGGGCGTGGTGGTGGCACAGGTGGCAGCCGGTGTGCCTGTAGTCCCAGCTACTCAGAAGGCTGAGGCAGGAGAATGGCGTGAACCCAGGAGGCAGAGCCTTCAGTGAGCTGAGATCACGTCACTGCACTCCATCCTGGGCGACAGAGCGAGACTCTGTCAAAAAAAAAAAAAAAAAAGCTATTCACTTCATCAATTCTTATTTTTCAGTAAAGTACTGTCACAATGGAAATCAAACTCTTAAAAAATCAAAATGTCAGTTAGTCTTTGAAATAGACAGTACATTCATAGGGTTCAAACATCAACAAGTATAAAAAGGTATGATTGAGCTCTCCCTCTTAACCTGTCCAGTTTCACTCAAACAAATAATCCATGTTATTTGTTTCTTATATTCTTTCAGAGATTAAAAAAATACATTCAAGCTAATACAAATTTATATTTTTTGCTCTTGTTACAAACCTAATGATACTATATATAACATTTTGCAGTGGTTTTCTTCTGTCTTCATATTCTTATGTAGTAACTCTCCTTGTTCTTTTTATAGCTTAGTAGTGTTCTGTATATGTGTGCATCATAGTTTGTATTACCAGTGCCCTATTGACTGCTATGTAGGCTGTGTTGCTAAACAGTGCTTATAGTCTTGCACCTCTATCTTTTTGCCTATATACAAGTATATAGGGTAAGTTCCTGAAAATTGAATTGCTTGCTGACAGAATGTGTGTGTGTGTATACACACACTCACTTACACATTTAAATATTTATGATTTGTTTTTGAGACAGGGTTGCAGGAGTGCAGTGGTGTGATCATAGCTCACTGCAACCTCGACCTGGTTCCAGGTTTAGGTGATCCTCTCACCTTGGTCTCCCTAGTAGCTGGGACTACAGGTGCTCACCACCACATCCAGAGATGGAGTCTTGCTCTTGTCACCCAGTCTGGAGTGCAGTGGCACCATCTTGGCTCACTGCAACCTCCGCCTCCCGGATTCAAGGAATTCACCTTCCTCAGCCTTCTGAGTAGCTGGGACTACAGGCACATGCCGCCATGCATGGCTAATTATTGTTATTTTTAGTAGAAACGGTTTCACCATGTTTGCCAGGCTGGTCTCGAACTCCTGACCTGAGGTGATCCACCCACCTCGGCCTCCCAAAGTGCTGGGATTATAGGTGTGAGCCACCGTGCCCGGCCTTCCCATCATCTTAATCTTACTTAATATTTCTTAAGTTTTATTCTCACCGTATTGTATTGCATTTCATCTTATCCTCCCTGTTATGAGTTGCTATCTTCATTATATGCCAAAATCATGTCTATTTTGAAGTTGGTTTCTGGATTTTAAATTTGTTTCATTTATCTGTTTACTCATATATTAGTACCACACTGTTTTAATTACTGATGATGAATAGTATATTTTTAATATCAGATAGAACAAATTAGTCTCTCTAAGTTTTCTTTGCTACTCTTGTTCTAAGTAAGCTCTTAAAGGAGTTCTTCCTAGTTCTCAGTAGGTTATTTTAGAAGTTCATTTGGACATGACTGCATGTTTGATGCTATTTAAATAATGTTAATTTTTCAGGGAAATTGATCAAACAGAAAATGTTAAACCGATGTTGAGAGGTCGCTTCCAGAAACCCAAACCCAATTTGTCAAGGGCTGGGAAGAAATCAGTTCTTTCACAAGGCAAAACAGAGGCAGAGAGCAAGAATTCACATTCAAAAACTTCAGTTGAAAAGGTATGGGGTAAGAGACTTCACGGAAATTAAAATTATAAAAATTTTCTTTAAATAGTTGGGAATAAAAGTTTTTGACTTGTAATTACAAAGTAATGTTACTGATATTAAAACAGATACAAGAACTTACATTAACATTAGATTTGTTCCTATCTTAGTCTCCTGTTTACACGTTTTCTTTAACCTGGTATATAATCATTTCAGATATCCTCAGTGGTGATAAATCTATCGTCTGTTTACTTATATAAAATTTTTATTTAAAATATTTCATAAACCAGCTATATATTAAATTATGCCCACAACGTTCTCATCCACACATAGGCAGTCACATTTCTGTTTGTCTTTTACAAACTGTTTGTTTTTTTCTGAGACAGGGTCTTGCTCTATTGCCAAGGCAACAGAGTCCAGGAGTGCAATGGCACTATTACGGCTCTCTACAGACTCAAAATCCTGAGCTCAAGTGATTCTGCCACATCACCCTCCCCAGTAGGTGGGAATACAGGTTTTGTGCACACCAATCCAGAATAATTTTTTTTCTCTTTTTTTTTTTTTTTTTTTGAGACATATGTCTCGCTGTCTCCCAGGCTGAGGACCTCGCAATGCGCAATCCTCAGGCTCATCCTCGCACAGCTCCATCTCATCCCGATTTCACAACATTCTCCTGCCTCAGTCTCCTGAGTGGCACTGGGATATTAGGGACGCCCACCACCATGCCTGGCTAATTTTTTGTTTTTTTCAGTAAGAGACGGTTGTGTGTCGGTGTGCTTAGCCGGATGGTTCTTTGAATCTCCGCTGACCTCCATGATCTGCCGCCCTCAGCCTCCAAAGTGCTGGATTACAGGCGTGAACCACCGCGCCCCAGCCTGATTTTCTATTTTTTACAATTAAGCAAAAATAGGAATGGAGTATACTTGTGCACCAGCTGGTTTTCTAACTCCTGGCCTCAAGTGATTCTCCTGCCTCAGCTTTCCAGAGTGCTAGGAGTTATAGGCCATGAGCCAAGCTCACCTGGTCAATAAATTTTTTATTTTTTTCTGTTCTTCGTTTCTTTTATTTTTTTTTTTTGTGATGGAGTCTTGCTCTGTCGCCTAGGCTGGAGAGTGCAGTGGCACGGATTCTTGTCACATGCAGCCTCCACCGTCTCAGGGTGGAAGCAATTCTCAACTGCCTCAGCCCCTATCCCGAAGTAGCTGGGATACAGGCAGCGTGCCCACCACACCTGGCTAATTTTTGTATTTTTAGTGAGAGACAGGGTTCTCACGCATGTGGCCGAGCTCTGCGTCTCGAACTCACTGAGCGCTGATGTGATGTCCAACGACTGCCTCAGCCTCCCAAAGTTGGCATGGATTACAGCATGAGCACCATGGCTCCTCCTTTTTGTTTTTTTTTTTTTTTTGAGATAGATGGTCTCGGCTCAGCGTAATCGCCACACCAGGCTGGAGTGGCAATGGCATGATCCTGGCTCATTGTAGCCTCTGGTCTCACAGGTTCAAGCTATTCTCGTGCCTCAAGCCTCCTAAGTAGGTGGGATTGCAGGCATGCCACGCGCACGCCAGCTAATTTTTGTATTTCGTTGAGACGAGGTTTTTGTCATGTTGGCCCGGCGGCTTGTCTTGAATTCCCTGACCTCAAGTGATCCATCCACGTCGCTCAAAATGCTGGGAGTTACAGTGTAGAGGCACCATGCCTGGCCAAAACTTTATCTATGTGTGCACATTCTATAATTTTTAACCATTATGGTTGTATGAATATTTGAAACCTTTTCTTTTCTTTGTTTTGTTTTTGCGGGCACGCGCCAGTCTCGCTCGCCAGGCTGGGCGTGCGATGGCGTGATCTTGGCTCAGTGCAACCTCTGCCTCCTGGGTTCAAGCGATTCTCATGCCTCAGCCTTCCAAGTGAGCTGGTGATTACAGGCGCACACCTCTATGCCCAGCCAATTTTTGTACTTTTAGTAGGAGACAAGTTTCACTATGTTGAGCCCTGCGCCCTGCCAAAACCTTTTTTACCTGGCCACAGTGGTGCGCACCTGTAATCCCAGCACTCTTGGCGAGGCCGAGGGTGGTGGCTCACTTTAGGGCCAGAGTTTGAAACCAGCCTGGCCAAACATTGGGGCGAAAACCGCATCTCTACTAAAAATACAAATAAATTAAGCTGGGTGTTGTTGACACAACGCTGTAAATCCCAACTATCGGGAAGGTTTGAGGCCAGAGACACCATCTGACGCCAGGAGGGAGAGGTTGCAGCGGACAAGATTGCTCCACTGCACCTCCAGCCTGGGCAACAGAGCCCGAAACTCTTCAAAAAAATAAAAAATATTTTAAAAAACTCTTTTCCTTGTTAGACATTCGACTCATTAATTTAACTTGTTTTTGGGTCCAATTGAACTTTTTATAGCTATATCATGTTAACCATGTTACTGATTTACTAATCGATGAATTTTACTAATGGATGTATCAGATAATTTTATATTTTTGTTTATTTGTGTTTTTTTAATCTTGTACATAAGAAGCAAAACAAGTTTTGTAAGTAAGGCTTTCTCAACGGAAACAAAGGGTAAATTCTACCAGACTTGGTGGGGATTTGTTGGGTCAAATAAATGGTTTTAATATTTTTATGATTCTTTGTTATGTGTTGCTTGTTTTGTTATTTAGTTATTTTTCTATTACTTTTAAAAATTTTTTCTGATATTTCTGAAGTACTCACTGAGATTGTTATGGCAGTTGTACAAACTGACCAGTCATTAAATAATGTATACATTGCTAAGTGAATCTTTGTTTCGTTATAACTTTTCACAGAACTCTTATTGTTACAATATTTTTATTTTTTTTTGAGAGAGATTCTCGCTCTGTCGCCAGGTTAGCTGGATGCGTGCGACGGATCTCGGTTCACTGCCAGGCTCCCACTCCAGGTTTACACCATTCTCCGTGCCTCAAACTCAAGGCCCGGAGTAGCTGGGCATTACAGCGCCGGCCAGCCTCGCCCGGCTAGTTTTTTGTATTTTTTAGTAGAGACGGGGTTTCACTGTGTTCGCCAGGATGGTCTCGATCTCCTGACCTCGTGATCTGCCCGTCTCGGCCTCCCAAAGTACTGGGATTACAGGCTTGAGCCACCGCACGCGGCCTACAATTTTTTTTTAACTAAAACACTTTTTAAGATGTTGGTTTGCTTTTTACTGTTTTGTGAAATATCTTTTATCATAATCTTCATAGTATAGTTATATCATTCTAATCTTATGTTTATTGAATTCTAGAAAATTTGGAAAATACAGATTCATGTAAAAGTTAAAACAAAAATCACTTGTAATTTTTTTCTTTACCTTTTTTTCTTTGAAATGTTGTAATCTTGTTTCTTTTCTTTTTCTTTCTTTTTTTTTTTTTTGAAGTGGAGTTTCACTCTTGTTGCCCAAGCTAGAGTGCAATGGTGTGATTTCGGCTTATAGCAACCTCCGCCTCCTGGGTTCAGGCGATTCCCCTGCCTCAGCCTCCCAACTGGCTGGGATTACAGGCATGTGCCACCATGCCCGGCTAATTTTTTTGTATTTTTAATAGAAACGCGGTTTCACCATGTTAGCCCGGCTGGTCTCGAACTTCTGACCTCAGGTGATCCCCCACCTCAGCCTCCCAAAGTGCTGGGATTACAGGCATAAGCCACCATGCCCAACCATTCCTTCTAATACTTGTAATTTCATTATTTACATGCAACCAATCTTTTCACATATATTGTTACATATTTTCTTTTACACAACTGAATCATGGTTTCAATACAGTTTTGTATCCTTTGGTAATTAACATTTCAGAAATATTTTTCTGAAATATTTAGTGTGATTCCATTTTTGTTAAAAAAAAAAAAATGTACACCAGGTGTGGTGGCTCATACCTGTAAGCCCAGCCCTTTGGGAGGCTGAGGTGGGCTAATCATCTGAGCCCAGGAATTTGAAACAAGCTTGGGCAACATGGCAAGATCCGGTCTGTACAAAAAATGAAAAAATTAGCTGGGCATGGTGTGCACCTGTAGTCCCAGCTACTCAGGAGGCTGAGATGGGAGGATCACCTGAGCCTCTGGGGTCAAGGCTGCAGTGAGCTATCATCATGCCACTGTACTCTAGCCTGGGCGACAGAGCGTGACCGTGTCTCAAAAAAAAAAAAAAAAAATTTCATCTGCATTTAGGATTTTTAGAAAATCTCATCTAGTTAGAAGTACAAAAAATGAAGTTCTTATTTATTTATTTATTGAGATGGAGTCTCACTCTGTCACCCAGGCTGGAGTATAGTGGCGTGACCTCAGCTCACTGCAACCTCTGCCTCCTGCATTCAAGGAATTCTCCTGCCTTAGCCTCCCAGGTAACTGGGACTACAGGCGCATGCTGCCACGCCTGGCTAATTTTTTGTATTTTAGTAGAGACAGCTTCACCATGTTGCCCGGGCTGGTCTTAAACTCCTGAGGTCAGGCAGTCTGCTCGCCTTGGCCTCCCAAAGTGCTAGGATTACAGGCTTGAGCCACTGTGCCCGGCCAGTTCTGTTGTTTTAATTTCCATTTATTTATTGCAAAGTTTGAACTTTTTATGGTAAGTAGATAAATTGTAGCAAATTAAATTCACAGGACCACCTGGAAAAGGATAAGATGAATACATTGGACATTTTGAGAATGGAGACTACGGAGAGAGAGAATCCAGAAGCTGAAACTGTATCTATGTAAGTATTCAGGAAATAGTAAAAAAAAGTAACTCTTAGGAATGATGGTGATAATTTATTTTCTACTTAATAAGGTCTGAATTTAATTTTCAAGTGGCATACTTTAAGTTCGTTTTCAACCATAGGTGGTTTTGAAACATTAATAATACTCTCTCTGCTTGATATTGCTTCTATGAATTTTTTAAGTCTGTTGAGTTAGCCATTACATTTGAATGTTTATAATATGTGCTCCTGGATAATTTTATTTATAGTAAGAGGTTTTAAAAGGGAATATTTAACTTGAAATGGAAATCTAAAATAGAATGTGAATCTGACTGGTGGATTCTGGGCTGTTCCAGGGGTTACCATTTATACCATGCTTTGGGACTAATCCCCTGGAGTTCTACAGTATTCTATAGTATCCTTAGTCAGCAGTAGTATTCTATGCTTGACAGATGTAGATTTTTCCAATTTTGTAATAAAATTCTATTTAAAAGTGCTTTTTCAAATGGGCTTTTCAGGATTATGTCTTTTTTTCTTTTTCCTTTTTTTTTGAGATGGAGTCTCGCTCTGTTGAGTAGTGGTGCAGTCTCTGCTCACTGCAGCCTCTGCCTCCCAGGTTCAAGTGATTCTCCTGCCTCAGCCTCCCAAGTAGCTGAGGTTACAGGCGCCCCCACCACGCCCGGCTAATTTTTATATTTTTAGTAGAGACAGATTTAACCATGTCGGCCAGGCTGGTCTCGAACTCCTGACCCCAAATGATCCCCCCCGCCTTGGCCTCCGAAAGTGCTGGGATTATAGGTGTGAGCCACCACGTCTGGGAGGATTATGTCTTTTCAGGAAACTTGTGAATTATTTCATATTCCACATGGTTTACTTATTCATGCCAGGGAGAAGGAAATTGGTGACTTCAAAATAAACATTGATTTTATTTCTTTGTGGTTCTAGGTTGGGTGAAAAAAATTGTTTGCAGGAAGAGAGTCAACTAAAGGCTTTAACACCTGCAAAAGTGAGGGGCCGATTGCAAAAGCCAAAGCCAAATGTAGGTAAAGCTGCTGGAAGAAAAGAAATTCTCATGTCACAGGAAGAAATTGGGGCCAATGTAGAAAAGAATGAAAATGAATCCCGTGCTGATAGAGATGTAAGTACTCTGATTCCTCCTCCCCTTTTTGTGAAGTACGTGAGCCTTACTTAATATAAGCTTCCCTTCACCCACATACATGCTTACATACATACATACATACATACATACATACATATATATGTTTATTTCTGACAGAGTCTCGCTCTGTCGCCCAGACTGGAATGCAGTGGCACGATCTTGGCTCACTGCAACCTCTGCCACCCAGGTTCAAGTGATTCTCCTACCTCAGCCACCTGAGATCGTGCCACTGCACTCTAGCCTGGGTGACAGAGCAAGACTCTGTCTCAAAAACAAAAAAATTCCCATGATCTATAATGTTTTTGTATTTTTAGTTGTGTGACTACAGGCGCACACCACCAGGTCTGGCTAATTTTTGTATTTTTAGTAGAGACAGGGTTTTGCCATATTGACCAGGCTGATCTCGAACTCCTGACCTCAGGTGATCCACCCGCCTCAGCCTCCCAAAGTGCTAGGATTACAGGCATGAGCCACTGTGCCCAACCCCTTTACCCCCTTTTAAAAACAGTACTGCACAATTTGTGTGCATCATTTATTAAATTTGTGGTCAAAATCTTATAGCCAACAGCCTTGCTAGTTGTAAAGCCATTTTAGATTTTGGGCATTTACATGATAAATAATCTGTTTCACCTGACCTCATATTTGGACTTGCTTTTCCCTATCACTTAGTGGATGTTTGAATTAACCTTCTCTTTTGAAGAGATCAGTACATATGTGAGTTTTAACATTGGCTTAAACGGCATAAAATGTTAAAAGCTCCCTATTAAGATACAATTCCAAGAACAAAGACTGTGAATTTTGGATTATTTACATAGTCTTTGTGATACAGATAAAAGTTGGCATATTTTGAGATTTCAGTTTCTTACGTTATAATTCCCATGGTCTGTAGACCAGGCATGTTGACCTATGCCTGTAATCCCAGCATTTTGGGAGGCTGAGGTGAGAGGATTGCTTGAGGCCAGGTGTCTGAAACCAGTCTGGGCAACATAATGACACTGTTTCTACAAACAGTTTTTTTAATTAGCTGGGCTTAGTGGTGTGCTTCTATAGTTCCAGCTACTTGGAAGGCTGAGGCAGGAGGATCAGTTGAGCCCAGGAGTTCAAGCCTCCAGTGAGCTATCTATAATTATGCCATTGCACTCTAGCGTGGGTGACAGAGTGAGACCCAGTCTTAAAAAAACTCCAGCTGGGCGCAGTGGCTCACGCCTGTAATCCCAGCACTCTGGGAGGCCGAGACGGGCGGATCACGAGGTCAGGAGATCAAGACCATCCTGGCTAACATGATGAAACCCTGTCTCTGCTAAAAATACAAAAAATTAGCCGGGCGTGGTGGTGGCACAGGTGGCAGCTGGTGCACCTGTAGTCCCAGCTACTCAGGAGGCTGAGGCAGGAGAATGGCGTGAACCTGAGAGGCAGAGCTTGCAGTGAGCCGAGATCACGTCACTGCACTCTAGCCTGGGCAACAGAGCAAGACTCCGTCTCAAAAAAAAAAAAATTCACGTGATCTATAATGCAATTATAATAATCAAAATAATTCAGAAAAATAGACCCCACAGGGGTATTTCTAACAGATGAAACCAAGACAGTTAACTTGTTTTTTGACTGGGAGGAGAGGAATGGGACTTTGAGATATCCTAAAAGGAGTAGCTCTTGAAATTTTCTAAGATAGCTAAAGAAAATACATTAAAAGTATTTTAAAGTCACCATTTTATAATTTTGAATTTTTTTTACCATTTTATACTTAAATTGGACAACATTTTCAATGAAATCTGTTATGCCTCACTGTGAAACCTAAAACATTAGAAAAATGTGTTTGTTTTTAAGACTCAACGCATGGAAGATCAATCATGTAAAGATTTTGAAGAGGAAGATGTCATATTACAACCTGAGAAAAATGATTCTTTTCAAAATGTGCAGCCAGATGAGCCCAAGGTTCTTAATGAATGTCTAAGGTAAGCATCATTTTGTTGATTATATCATCTTTGGATTTTGTAAGAAGTTTTAGAACTCAATGAGTTTTTTAAAACAGAAGCAATTTAGATGGATTTGTTGTCTGCGTATCTAGTTATATAACATTTAAAAATATAACTTCACCTTTCAAGAAAGTTTATGTTGTAGGCTTTATGTGAATTTCTCAGATGGTTTGAAAAAAGCTACTCATCATAAATTAGTACTTGAGTTAACATGAATAGCCTTATCACTTTATTTCATTTTATTTTCCTTTTTATTTTTTGAGATGGAATTTCACTCTTATTGCCCAGGCTGGAGGACAGTCTTAGCACACTGCAACCACTGCCTCCCAGGTTCAGGTGATTCTCCTGCCTCAGCCTGCTGAGTAGCTGGGATTACAGGCGCCTGCCACCAAGCCCAGCTAATTTTTATATTTTTAGTAGAGACAGGGTTTCACCATGTTGGCCAGGCTGGTCTCGAACTCCTGACCTCAAGTGATCCACCTGCCTTGGCCTCCTAAAATGCTGGGGTTACAGATGTGACCCATCACGCCCAGTCAGCCTTGTCACTTAACACGCGTATTAAATTATATGTTTATGTTCAAATGTAAAATGCTACTTACTTTTAAAATATTTGTTTCTTTGGAATTAGATTGAGCACATATTGCTTTTATTTAAGATTTCTATATTTTGTTTAAAACTTATGTATAGAAACCCATACTGCTTATAGCCAAAGCCTTTTCTATTTTTTATTTCTTCCTTGGAGGGTACCAAGCCAGGCTGATGGAATTACTAGTATACTATTTCAGCTTTTCATTTTGGAAATGTTTAATGTGCGCAGAAGCGCAGTAGTGGACTCCCATATACCTGCTGTCCAGTTTCAATAATTAATATTTTACCAGTCTTTACATTTAAAGACTAGCCTATGCTATAATTTCTTACAGCTGTGTTAACCTGTTTAAATAGTACCTAGCTGGGCATGGCAGCTCATGCCTATCTAGCTACATGGAAAGCTGAAGGAAGAGACTTGCTTGAGCCCAGGAATTAGAAGCTGCAGGGAGCTATGATTGTGCCACTTTCCTCCAGCCAGGGCAGCAAAGTGAGACAGACTCCTGTCCCTCCAGAAAAGAAAAGTACCTAACCTGAGAGTGAAAGCTAGGTTTCCTGAACTACTTTAAACATCTTTATGGGAAGACAAAAAAATTTATTTATTTCTTGTTGCCTTCAATATTCCTTTGCTTCTTATTCCTCCCCACTGCCCCAATTATTTTACTAATGTGCACACAGTCTCTAGGTAGAAGTTTGTATGACTGCATTGCTTGTTACATATCTCTGATATGGATTTTAATTACAGATAGCTAACAAATTATTCTTTTTATTTATATTTTTTCAGTTTAAGCTAGAGTCTTTTAATAGATACTGTGGCTAAGTAGAAAATTAAACTTTCCTGAATGGCCTCTGGGTTTTAGAATGCTGGTGGACATTGTAACTAATATTCAGTCTGATCTCAACAACTTTCCTCTCCATGGGTAGTGTCATTTCTGCTTTGTCATGTGATCTTTCTGGCCTTTGAATCTCCAAAATCTTCAAAAGCAATTCTAAGATTCTGTGTTTTATCAAATTATACACCTATCTATGTCTAACGGAAAGTTTTCTCCCTCCCCTACTCCAAATATGTTGGCCTGTTCAAGATGCTATGTAAGAGAAAGAGATAGTAGGAAAACAGTCTCTTAAAGAATGCATTAAAAATTCTTTAGGCTGGGCATGGTGACTCACACCTATAATCCCAGCACTTTGGGAGGCTGAGACAGGAGTATCACTTGAGGCCAGGAGCTCAAGACAAGCCTGGACAACATAGCAAGACCCCATCTCTATATAAAAAAGGTACTTTATTAGATAAATTAGTGAATATTTCTTTGAAATTTAATCTTCTAGGTTAATTTTGCATCTTATCTACTTCATATAAATATTTTAAGATTTTTGTCATGATTGGTGATGTTCCTTTGGAGGTTTTTATATATATATATATATATGAAACATATATATACACACATTTATATGTTTGAAACACACGCAGACACACGCTTTTTTTTAAAGACAGGGTCTTGCTCTTGCACCCAGGCTGGAGTACAGTGGCGCGATCATGGCTCATTGCAGCCTCGACCTCTTGGGCTCAATTGATCCTCTTGCCTCAGCCTCCCAAGTAGCTGGGACAACAGGTGCATGCCACCACGTCTGGCTAATTTTTAAATTTTTTGTAGAAATAGTGTTTTGCCATGTTGCCCAGGCTGATCTTGAACTCTTGGGCTGAAGGGATCCTCCTTCCTCAGCCTCCCAAAGTGCTGGGATTATAGGTGTGAGCCACCGCGCCTGGCCATGAATGTTTTATAGATTCTTAAACTCTGTGTTTTAGAAAAACACATATGCAGACCTTAAAGCACATTTATAGTTCTGTGCTCATTCCATATCTTATTTTCTCCATTCGTGGTCCTCTTGCTTTGCCTTCCTTCTCAAATTTGTGATCTGAGGAAAGTTTGTAGATCCACTGCATATTTTGAGAAATAATCTAGTTCAATTTTATATCTGATATCCAGTCTCAGATACTGCCCTTCAGTTAATGCTGTACTTCTTTTGTTACTTAGAAACAATCTAATGCTTTGCTGGAATGGCAGTTTAAAAAATCTAAGCACATAGAATATAGTTATAACATTGCATATCTGTGTCTTACAATCTGAACTGATATTGAAATAATGAAATTATTAATAAAGCCTTTGCTTAAAGCATTTATGTGTTTAAATAATATGCCTGTTTTCAAAATGTGACTTTGTAAAGATAGTTTATCTCTTCCCATGATACCCAAACCAAGATTGCTAGCATAGTAATCTCACTAAAAGCTAGATGTTTCTGGATGGAGATGAAAAGTGTCATAAATCAGAAAATGGAATTCAGTCCATTCTGTACTAATCAAATTAAATTTCCTTCCTTGATTGCTGTTAATTTTACATTTAACATTGTCAATTACTAACATTAATGATGGATATAAACACTTAAGTTACGTAAACAAATACAACTTGAAAAGCAATCTTATTCCTAAGGACCTGTCTTATAGTATCAAAAATTGCATTATTGAAAACAGTTATTTCAGTGAGGAAGGATAGTTTAGGACCTAAAGAAGTTGAAACAAACAGTAGCAACAATAGCATACTTTTGTTTTTTTGTTTTTGTTTTTGTTTTGTTTTTTTTTTGAGACAGAGTCTTGCTCTGTCGCCCAGGCTGGAGTGCAGTGATATGATCTTGGCTCACTGCAACCTCTGCTTCGTGGGTTCCAGCTATTTTCCTGCCTCAGCCTCCTGTGTAGCTGAGATTACAGGCGTGCGCCACCATGCCCTGCTAATTTTTGTATTTTCAGTAGAGACAGTGTTTCACCATGTTGGCCAGGCTGGTCTCGAACTCTTGACCTCAAGTGATCCGCCTGTCTCAACCTTCCGAAATGCTGGGATTACAGGCTGAGCCACCATGCCCAGCCTAGAATACTTTTAAGTAAATCTTTTGCTTATTTGTTTTTGTTTTTTGTTTGTTTGTTTTGAGACGGGATCTTGCTCTGTTGCTCAGTCTGGAGTGCAGTGGCATGATCATAGATTACTGCACTGTCATCCTTCCTGGGCTCAGGTGATCCTCCCACCTCAGCCTCCTGAATAGCTGGGACTACAGGTGCACGCTACCTCACCTGACTAATTTTGGGTTTTGTTTTGTTTTGGTGGAGATGGGATTTCTACCAAAAACTCCTGGGGTCGAGCCATCTGCTTCAGCTTCCTGAAGTGCTGGGAGTACAGGCATGAGGCATCATGCCCCGCTCGTCTTTTTTTAAGCTGTTGAATGTATAGTTACATACCTGTTCAGTCTGACATGGCTGAATAAATCTAATCTAGTGTTTCATTTGATCTAGCTTTTGCCCAATATTAATAACTTTTCCTTACCAGTCATATAAAAGCTCTTTCATTTATTTATATGTTTATTGATTTCACCGTCTATTATAATAAACAGAAAGCAAAACAAAAAGTGCTGCTGCTTTTCTGGAGAGCAAGGTGCTTGTTTTGGATAGTGATTGTCTGCCAAGTAGCATTCAGCAAACATTATTGTGTATTTAGTCTTTCCTTTTATTCTTTACTTATATTATGAAATAAGCTCTTAGAGAAACATGTGTATAGGAAATCTCATATAAAGTTGATTTTAAAAGGTGAGGAGGGCAGACCTCATTTGTAGTCCTAAGATTTAATCTTAGTCAAGTCATACTTGCATCCAGGTATTTGAGGTGGTCAGGTCTATTTTGGCAAAGCGTTTGTCTGTGTAAAAGATAGAAGGGATGAAGAGGTAGAAATAGCAGACATACATTAATCTGGCTCCAATGCAGGGAACTGGAGAGTCTTTCCCAGTCACTATTTGCAAATGGTAGTGTGAATGACAATTGGAAAGAGATTATTAGGATCAAATAGCTTCTATACTGATTGACTTTACTAGGTATATATATTTAAACTTTTTGCTTTGATTTCAAAAGGTGGGATTTTTTTCTTTTAATTTGTAAATTTTACCCAGAGATTCCTAGGGCTTCCTTAATTTTTTTGAATTTGAGAGTTTCTGGTGTTTCTGTAGTGATTTCTCAAACATCATCTCTTTAGCAGGCAGTCTGGTTTAAAACTTGATTGTGTGCCCCTCCTTTTTTTTTTTTATAGCATTCAAGAGAATAATAAAGCAAATAAACTTAATCAAGTCCCAATTCTAAGGACTCGATTTCAGAAACCAAAGCCAAATATCGGAAGAGGAACTGGAAGGAGAGAAATTTCCTCAAAAGAAGAAGTACTAGAGAAGATTCTTGCCTCTGGGGAAATGACAGCAGCATTGAGAGAAACTGTAAGACTAGACACCTCACCAAAGGAGATGGTACCAGCAGAGATTAATACTACTAAAGAAATGCAGTCAGATTTAAAAGAAACTGGAAGAAGAGCCATTTCTCCCAGGGAGAAGATTCTAGATGTGATTGATGTCACCAGGGAAGTGGAGACAGGTTTGAAAGCAAGGGGAAGAGAGATTTGTTTAAGGGAGAAGACACCACAGGTGATTGATGCCACTAAGGAAATAGACAAAGATTTGGAAGAAACTGGAAGAAGAGAAATACCCCCACATGAAAATGGCCCAGAGGAGGTCAAGCCTGTAGGTGAAATGGAGACAAATTTAAAAGCAACTGGAAATGAGAGTTCCCCAAGAGAGAAGACACCAGAGGTGGTTGATGCCACTCAGGAAATAGACAAAGATTTGGAAGACACTGGAAAAAGAAAAATATCCCCAAAGGAAAATGGCCCAGAGGAGGTCAAGCCTGTAGATGAAATGGAGACAGATTTGAAAGCAACTGGAAGAGAGAGTTCCCCAAGAGAGAAGACACCAGAGGTAATTGATGCTACTGAGGAAATAGAGATAGATTTGGAAGAAACTGAAAGAGAAATATCCCCACAGGAAAATGGGCCAGAGGAGGTCAAGCCTCTAGGTGAAATGGAGACCGATTTGAAAGCAGCTGGAAGAGAGAGTTCCCCAAGGGAGAAGACACCAGAGGTGACTGATACCACTGAGGAAATAGAGATAGATTTGGAAGAAACGGAAAGAGAAATATCCCCACAGGAAAATGGCCTAGAAGTGGTCAAGCCTGTAGGTGAAATGGAGACAGATTTGAAAGCAACTGGAAGGGAGATTTCCCCAAGGGAGAAGACACCAGAGGTGATTGATGCCACTGAGGAAGTAGACAAAGATTTGGAAGAAACCGGAAGAAGAGAAATATCCCCAGAGGAAAATAGCCCAGAGGAGGTCAAGCCTGTAGATGAAATGGAGACAGATTTGAAGGCAACTGGAAGAGAGAGTTTCCCAAGGGAGAAGACACCAGAGGTGATTGATGCTGCTGAGGAAATAGAGATAGATGTGGAAGAAACTGAAAGAGAAATAGCCCCACAGGAAAGTGGCCCAGAGGTGGTCAGGCCTGTAGGTAAAATGGAGACAGATTTGAAAGAAATTAGAGAAGAAATTTCCCAAAGGGAAAAGGTGCTAGCGGAGATCAGTGCTGTAAGGGAAAAGGAGATTGATTTGAAAGAAGCTGGAAAAAGAGACATTTCCATGATGGAGAAAGTATCAGGAAAGATGGCTGTCATTGAAGAAATGGAGACAGATATGAAAGAAACTGGAAGAGAAAATTTTAGAGAGAAAGAATCTGAAGAGATCTGTGTTACTGAGGAAAAGGTGGCAGAATTGAAAAAAACTGGAAAAACAGACATTTCTCTAAGGGAAAATGAACTAGAGGAGACCAGTACCTCAAGACAAACTGAGACACATTTAATGCAGAGCGGTAGCAATGACTGCAGTGCTATGCCTTCGCTAGATATTAAAGTATGTATTTTTCTGTCCTTTAAAAGTTTTTTTGAATGCTTTTTTTCAGAGGAAAGTTACCAAAATAATTCCATGATTATTTTGTCCTTAAGTCTAACAGCACTTAAAAATCTCTAAAAGTCTAAAGTCTTTTGTAGCCCTAAGTTTCTGTGTTTCAGTGCCTTGAAGAAACTGTATGTTCTTTTTTAAAAAGATAACTTAGGCTGGGCACACCTCTAAACCCAACACTTTGGGAGGCCAAAATGGGAGGATTACTTGAGCCCAGGAGTTTGAGACCAGCCTGGGCAACGTAGGGAGACCTTGTCTCTAAGAAAATAATAATAATAAATAAAATAAAATATAATGAGGTGCAAGCCTGTAGTCCCAGCTACTTGGGAGGCTAAGGTGAGAGGATTGCTTGAGCCCTGGAGGTTGAGGCTGCAGTGAGCTGTGATTGTGCCATTGTACTCCACCCTGGGTGACAGAGTGAGACCCTGTCTCAAAAAGAAATGAAAAAAAAAAAACTATTTTTAACTGTGAAAAAGTCACTATTATTATTGTTTTTTTTCTCTAAGTCAGACGGGCAAGGATCAAATTTTTCTTTTGGCTTAGGTTTGAGATCCCAAAAATGTTACTGTTCTTAATGTCATTTGAAGTAACTCTTTTAGGTAAAAGAATAGGAAATTAGACTGACTTAGTACTAACCCTAGCGTGAACACACATTATTTATTTTGGCCACATCTGCATCTGCTTTTATTTCTTGCCCCCCCGACTTCACTTCTAAAAGTTCTTTTTGTTTTTGCAAGTTACTTTGAAGTTCACGATCTTCTAACATTTTCAAGGACTTTTTTTTTTTTTTCCTAACTTTTAAAAATAGGTAATGACATTTGTGGTTTGGAAAAGTAATAATGTGCAATGTTAAAAGGGTTTCCTGAATTCCTAATTTTACCATTTGGAAATTAAATTTTCTTTAAAAATTAAAAACTTCTAAATTGTTAAAGGAAAGTGTTCAGAATTTAGTAGACTTTTGTTTTAAGTATATAAGATGTTTAAATAATCTTTTATTTGTGCTGATTTACTATGACTGTTTCTCTAGAACATTAGCAGTGAAGTACTGTTGATGATGCACACACCTGTAGAAGAAAAAAGAGATTCTGAAAAAGAAGTATCAAGTCCCTTCAGTCATTTCAAGATTTCTTCACAGACTCTTGAATCTGATAAAACAGAAGTCCTGGGGATTCGATCTTCAGATGTTCCAGAGCCATTTTCAGATATTAATTTAAGGTACAAGTGTGTTTTTAAAGAAAAAGATACTAAGTTATAGTTGCAGATTCTGTTAAACTAAGTGAGGTTTCAAGGTATAACATATACAGGATAGTGTTAGAGATTTTAAGATAGTTTTGGGAAGACTGGGAGAGAGGATTGAGGTCACTCTGACAAGTCAGTTGTGAAAGTTACTGACATACAAAATTGTAACAGTCTTAAATCAATACAGGTTTGATAGACTTATGTTTTCTTTGTGCAGAGATGATATAATTCCTAGGCTCATACCTGGATTGTACCATTCATGGTTTTCAGGATCTGCCAGATAGTTCGATTTGTTTTCCTGTTAAGAATTAGAATTAGGCCAAGTATGGTGGCTCACACCTCTAATCGTAGCAATTTGGGAGGCTGAGTTGGGTGAATCCTTTAAGCCCAGGAGTTTGAGACCAGCCTGGGCAACAGGCTGTAGCAACCCCATCTCTACAAAAAATACAAAAACTAGCTGGGTGTAGTGGCACTTGCCTGTAGTCCCAGCTACTTGGGAGACTCAGATGTGAGGATCACCTGAGCCTGCAGAGGTCAAGGCTGCAGTGAGGTATGATTGTGTCATTGCACTCCAGCCTGGGGGACAGAACAAGACCCTGTCTCAAAAAAAAAAAAAAAAAAAAAAAAAATTAAATGTTTACTTGTTTACTGCCAGTCTCTAAGGTTGTACTGAGACTCTGTTTCCCCTGCCCCTTCAGTTCATTCTAAAGCTTGATAATCCTTGTTCCAAAAGCAGATCTCTTCCTCAAGAACAGAAGTCACTTGAAATTAAACCAGCACCTTTTGTGAGGAGTCGATTCAAAAGACCAAAACCAAACTTAGCAAGAGCAGCTTTGAAGAGAGAGACTACAGCATCAGAAAAATATATATATGGGAAGAAATCAGAAACCAAGAAAATGGAGACTATCGTGATGCAAGAAAATAATGAACAAGCTGATACTCTCCCTTCTCAACATGTGAGTGATATTTAAGATGGAAGTTCTGTGTGTGTGGTTTTTTTTTGTTTTTGTTTTTGTTTTTGTTTTTTTAATTATTAGGGCTAATAAAAGCACCTGGCATTAAAATTTTACAAATATTTCTGTGTAATTTTTGCTGCGTGTAATGTTGCTCCCATGCTTAATGTGCCTCATTGTTACACATAATTTGTGTAAGAATCTCAGATACCTGATAATGGGCAAGCGTGTTGTGGGAAAGCGTTTAGGAGGTCTGGGCTCTGGTTCCAGGTCTGGCTATGTGACCATTGACGAAACAGTTTTTCTTCATAGAAAAAATGACAGTAATAGGGTTTTTTTTAATTTTTAAATTTTTTTTGAGTTGAAGTCTCACTCTGTTCCCAAGCTGGAGTGTAGTGGTGCAATCTTGGCTCACTGCAACCTCCACCTCCCGGGTTCAAGCGATTCTCCTGCCTCAGCCTCCTGAATGCTGGGACTACAGGCACACGCCGCCATGCCCGGCTAATTTTTTTTTTTTTATTTTTAGTAGAGACGGGGTTCATGGCTGATCTCAAACTCCTGACCTCGTGATTCACCTGCTTTGGCCTCCCAAAGTGCTGGGATTACGCTGAGCCACGGCGCCTGGCGAGAATAATAGTTTTTTATTTCAGTCTGTTGTGTAGGTGAAATAAAGAGTTAAAAGATTGATTTGAGTTAAAGGTGATATTTTATTTACTTTATTAACTTGGTCCATAACAGATTAAAATTGTGAGAAATGAAATGAATAATTATAAACTGAATGTTTTCCACATATAAAGTCCTTTTTAGAATTAAAACTCTTATTTGACATCTTAAAACAGCTCAGTACTTTACTGTGCATCAACATTTGTACTTTTTCTCCTACACTTTTCTGATTGTAGAAATTTCAATTTGGAAAAATATATGTATTCTAAAAAGTGAAAGTCTTATAATGTCACATCCCTTTCCCCCAAGTTAATCATACAGTAATTTTGAATATATCCACTTACACTTTTTGGTCTTACAGTTTTAAAATAATAAAATGGGAAGGTATTTTTATTTTTTTTCCAAAATGACATTAATTTTTGCCTTCTGATTTTTCCACCTACAATATTGTGAGCTTCTTCTTAGATCAGTACAAAGAGATATATCTTGTTTTAAATGATTAGGTACTATTGCATTGTAAAGAAATTAAAATTTATTTATTCAGTCCCCTAATGATAGATCTGTCTTATTTCTGATTTTTTGTTTGTCTTTTCCAGTGAGGGAGGTGGTGCTTAAATTATTACAATAAATATTTTTGTGTATATATTTATACTTGTTGAGTATTTGTAAGATACATTTCTAGAAGTGGAATTGCTGGGAGTTTAGAATTTTGGTATAGACTAACTTATTATTCTTTACAAAGATGATACCGATTTATACTTGTACTAATGGAATAAGAAAGTTCTTATTTCCTTATACTTTTAGCAACCCTGAATGAAATTTTGTTTTCTACCTTTTAGGATGAAGCTTCCCTAATGATATCAAGAGAAAAAGACACATCAGGTCACAGGAATGAGGAGGCTGTGATATTGCCATGTACACAGACTGAAGAGAACCTTTCAACTTCAAATTCTTGTGAACCTAAAGAGGAGTCTCAGTCAGCACAAGCCCAGGAAAATGACTTAGTTGTTTCTGTGGGGTAAACAGTGATTTTCTTTGAAAATATAAAATAAGAGAGATACTTCTTTTAAATATTTCTCATTTTTATTGAGATATGTTAATTCATTAAAAAAGTGAACATAAAGAATATTGTTTTAATTTTATTGATATAGCAGACTGCCTAAAATATAATATCAGACTGAATTCAACACCACCTAATGATTGCCTGCTTATCTGCATTGTCAGCTGTGTAAGAGCCTATACCAAGCAATGCATTTAAAAACTACAGGCTGAGCATCCCTAATAAAAAATTCTGAAATGCTCCACAATATAAAATTTTTTGAGAGCTGATGTGATGCTCAAAAAAAATGCTCAGTGGAGCATTTTGGATTTTCAAAGTAGGGATGCTCAACTGATAAGTATAATGCAAATATTTCCAAATCTAAAAAAATCTGAAATCTGAAACATTTCTGGTCCTAAGCATTTTGGATGAGGGCTGCTCAGCCTGTATGTATATGAGCTATATATATTCATTACCTTTTAAAAATTGGTGAAATACTCATAGCATAAAATTTACCTTTTTAACTATTTTTTAATGTGCAGTGGGTTTAAGTGTATTCACATTGTTGTCCCGTTGCCACCACCATTCATCTCTAGACTTTATTTTTCATCTTTGTAAAATGAAACTCTCTACCCATTAAATATTAACTTATTCTCCTCTTCTTCCAGCTCCTGGCAACCACCATTCTGTCTGTATATTTAGCTACTCTAGGCATATTATATAAGTTTATTACCTTTTGAGAATTGAAATAACTGTTTTCTTTTGTAAAGTAAGATGTTTATAATCAGAAAGCAATTTCCCTTTGATGGTACAAAGTATTTTTTAGAGCGTTTATTAGAGGAGATCCAAATTTTACATTTTTACATTAGTTTTCAACTTTTTACAGTCAAGTGCCCTGACTTTCTCCCTGTGCCCTTGTTTAGGACTAATAATATAAACACTTTCCAGCAAGAAATGAAGGAAAGTGTTATCCAAACTGCTCGACCAGTAAGGGGCCGACTTCAGAGACCAAGACCAAATGTAAAAAAGACAGGACAGAGGCAAATAGTAGACAAAGGTAACGCCAAAGGCATAATTAAGGAAGAAAGAACAGTATTACAAAAAGATGAAACCGAAAAGAAAATCTTAACTGCGGTGAGTTATTGTTATGTAATTAAATTGCGCCTTTTAATGCATTTAAAATAAGTTACAGCTCAGACATGGCTTAGAAATACAGGCATCTGACACTTATTCTACTCAATGAATACAGTTTCCAGTTTTGTTTCAGATTTGCTCTTCTGGATTTTTTTTTTTAAGTGAAAAAGATGTATTTCTTTTCGAATTAATGAAGCTATTCATCATAAAAGACAAAATAATATAATAAATACCACAGATCTTACTCTGAGATAACCACTGAAAACCTTTTGACATATCTTACTGGATCTGTTTCCATGCACACATATGTACACACTTATGCAGATTTAAGCAATAAAGTCATTACATATTATAACTTTCTGTTACTCACTTAATACTATGTTAAGTGGCTTTCTGGATCAATAAATATGTTAGTTACATCATTTTTGCTGTATAACATGCTGTTTTGAATGACAGTTTAATCTCTTACTGATGGGACTTTTGGTATTAGGAAAAAAGTAAGTAGTGTAATGCCTAAAAATGTTCATTTTAGGTAGTTCTTATTTTTCTGTTTAGCAGTGCAAAGTCTGGATTTAAAATAATCTTTATTTGAACCAAAAAGCTCTTTTTTTAAAAAAAAATTAAACTTTTGTTTATTTTTAATTTCATAGCAGGTGACTATTATAGGTTTCAAAGTATTATGTAAACATATCATTGCAATAATCTTTGAAAATTTTCTCTGAACTAGGCATCCTTGTTTTGGCAACAGAATATGAACATTACATATCCAGTTTGAATCTAATTTTAAAGAATTAACCACTGATGGTGGTATGTGCCTGTAATCCCAGTTACTCAGGAGGCCGAGGAAGGAGGATCACTTGAGCCTAGGAGTTTGAGACCAGCCTGGGCAGTATGATGAGACTATCTTGAAATAAATAAATAAAAATTTAAAAAAGAAAAGGGATTTTAGAAAACCAAATATCTTTCTTAATGATGGAAATATTTTAAGAGGTATATTCTGCTATAAAAATAACATACTAATATGATTTTGTCTTTTCAGTCAAATCCTCAAATTGAAACTGATATTGAAGTTCCCTCCTCCACAGTTTCAGAACACAGAATGTGTGAAAATCAAAGTCAGGTGATTCTTGTAGAAAACCTTCATATTAACAAAACAGATGAAACAATCAGGTGAGTTTGCTTTTAATGAGAAAAACATAAGACTTTTCAAAGATAAAGGTTATATTTTTGCATAGTTGACTTTGTATATTAATAACTTCACATCCTGAAAATGTTAAAAGGATGAAGTAATAAATACTTTTGATACTAGAGTCTTTTAAATCTGCTTCTCGAATACTGTATGAATTGCATGGCTGATATTCTCTTAAGTATATGATAGTCTCTTAAGTATATGTAACTTCTCTGAAAAGTTTGACAAGCATCCTACTTCTTGGTACTGAAACTCAACTTTTAATAGTAGTCAAAGATTCTTAAGTTCTTTGTATCTTTTTTAGAAATTCAGGCCAGGCGCGGTGGTTCACGCCTGTAATCCTAGCACTTTGGGAAACCAAGACGAGAGAATCGCTTGAGTCCAGGAGTTCAAGACCAGCCTGGGCAACATAGTGAGACCTCGTCTCTATAAAAATAACAAATACAAAATAAAAGATGTTTATAACCTAGTGACTAAAGTTCATTAATAGGTAGTCCTATAAAGTACTTACTGTATACTATATTTAGAGGTAACTGTATCAAAGCCAAATGGTAAGAATAATATCTTTTACATGAGATGAGCTAGTGGGATGAAGAAGTTTTAACATTACCACTTTTATTTATTACTTGCTATCTGCCTTATTATTATTGATATTAAAGCAAGATGTGTTCTTTAGTAAAAACGCCTTTCCTTTCTGTGTATAGTTCTTGGTCCATCTAATTTACCGTCTTTGTGACTAGAACATGTTTTAGTGAAGTATTTATTAATTTTCCTCCAGGATGTTTTCAGCACTTAAGAATATACTTTAAATATTCAGCTTCCTTTAATTAGGTAGAGTGACTTTGGCTTTCTGGGAAATGCAGAGGAGATGTTATTGTATCCTTTTTTTACCCTCTCTAGTTGGGTGAAGCTAGAATTGGGGCATGTTAGGTCATCTGTCGAAACAGGTGCTATTGATTTATATTTTCTTTTATTATATTTACTTTTTGAGACAAGGTATCTCACTGTGTCGCCCAGGATGGAGTGCAGTGGTGCCGTCACAGCTCACTGCAGCCTCAACTTCCTGGGCTCAAGTGATCCTCCCACCTCAGCCACAAGTAGCTGGGACCACAGGTGCACACCATCATGCCTGGCTATTATTTTTGTATATTTTTGTAGAGATGGGGTTTCAGCATGTTGCCCAGGCTGGTCCTGAACTCCTGAGCTCAAGTGATCCGCCTGTCTCGGCCTCCCAAAATCTTGGGATTACACAGTGAGCACCATGCCCGACCTCTGTTAATTTTAGATGCTTGAAGCAGTTTGCTTTCATTTAGACAAGTTTCTAATGTGAAGTTTTTATTTTAGTATGGATTACTTTTTTTTTTGGAGACAGAGTCTCAGAGGGCAGTGGCTGGATTGTGGCTCATTGCAACCTTGGCCTCCTAGATTCAAGCAATTCTTGTGCTTCAGCCTCCCGAGTAGTTGGGATTACAGGCACCTACCACCACACCCTACTAATTTTTGTATTTTTAGTAGAGACAGGGATTCACCATGTTGGCCAGCCTGGTCTGGAACTCCTGACCTCAGGTGATCCATCCTCCTCAGCCTCCCAAAGTGCTGGGATTACAGGCATGAGCCACTGTGCCCAGTCTGGATTACTTTTCTTTCCAATATTACAGCCCCCACCCCCTCCCCCCGCTTTTTGTCTTAAAAAGCCTTACATTTTTTTTTTTTGGATGTATAATAGTTATACGTATTTTTGGACTACATGTAATATTTTGATACATTATACACAGTATATAATTATCAATCAGAGTAACTGGGATATCCATCACCGCATACATTTATCTTTATATTGGCAACATAATTTTCTAGCTGTTTTGAAATAATACAATAAGTGATTGTTAACTATAATTTTCCTACTGTACTGTTGAATACCAGAACTTATTCCTTCTATCTAACTGTGTTTTTGTACACACTAATCAGCTTCTCATTACTCCCTTCCCTCTTTCCTTCCTAGTCTCCGGTGAGCACCATTCTAATCCCTACCTCCATGAGATCCACTTTTTAAGCTGCTACATATGAGTGAGAATATGCAATATTTGTCTTTCTGTGCCTGGCTTATTTCACCTAACATAATGACCTCTAGTTCCATCTGTGTTGCTGTGAATGACAGGGTTTCATTCTTTTTTATGGTTAAATAATATTGCATTGTATATATATACACCACACTTTCTCACTTTTTTTATTCATTTGTTGCTGGACACTTAGGTTGATACTATGTGTTGGCTATTGTGAATACCACTGCAGTAAACATGAGAGTTCAGATATCTCTTTGATACACTGATTTCCTTTCTTTTGGACATATACCTGGCAGTAGGATGGCTCAATCAAATGGTAGTTCTATTTTAGTTTTTTGAGGAACTTTCATACTTTTTTCCATAATGGCATTCCTACTTTATATTCCCATGAACAGCATATGAGTTTTCCCCTTTCTCCACATCCTGACCAGTATTTGTAATTTTTTGTCTTTTTAATAGTAGCCATTTTAACTGCAGTGAGATGATATCTCAGTGCCGTTTTCATTTGTGTTTCCCTGATGATTAATGATGTTGAACATTTTGTTAGACACCTGTTGGCCATTTGTATGTCTTTGAGAACTGTCTGTTTAGATCTTTTGCGTATTCTTTAATCAGATTATTTGTTTTTTGCTATTGAGTTGTTTTCGTTCCTCATATATTCTGGTCATTAACTTTTGTGAGATGGATAGTTGGGAATTTTTTTCTCCCATTCTGTAGGTTGTCTCTTCACTTTGTTGATTGTTTCCTGTGCTGTGCATTGAAAAGTCTTTCCATATTGCTTTTAAGATTAAGGCCAATTTTTATTTCACATTAATTTTAGGTTCCGTTACTAAGCCATTTTTTCAGTTTTTAAAACTGGATATTTTATTGAAATTTTTTTTACTAAAATTCATTACACTTATATTACAAATGCAATATTGGATTAGGTTTATGATTGATCCCAGAGCAATTTAACTCTGATAATGTCTAGGAAACATTACAAATGAATTTGTTTACATCATTCACTTCTCCTAATTACTAACTATGGGATTATTTTCTATGTATAATCCCTTTTTGATCTTAAAGAATTATAGAATTTTGGCCGGGTGCAGTGGCTTACGCCTGTAATCCCAACACTTTGGGAGGCTGAGGCGGGCAGATCACAGGGTCAGGAGATCGAGACCATACTGGCTAACACGGTGAAACCCCGTCTCTACTAAAAATACAGAAAATTAGCCAGGAGTGACGGCGTGTGCCGGTGGTCTGAGCTACTCCGGAGGCTGAGGCAGGAGAATGGCGTGAACCCGGGAGGAGGAGCTTGCAGTGAGCCGAGATCGTGCCCCTGCACTCCAGCCTGGGTGACAGAGCGACACTCCATCTCAAAAAAAAAAAAAAAATTAGAATTTTACCACTGAAAATAACCTTACATACTCATTTATTCCACAAACGTTTTAGTGTCTGCTGTGTGCCAGGCGTTGTTCTAAGTGCTGATGATATACAAATGAACAAAGAAAAAAATGCTGTTACTGTGGAGTTTATATTCTAATTGAGAAACAGATTATATAAACAAGAGAAATAAGTTGAATAAATAAGTGATAAATAAGTAGAGAAAAATAAAGTTTTGAGTAGGGGGTATTGTGATTGGGGATTCAATTTTTAATCAGCAGTGACCAGAGAAAGCATCACTGAAAGGGTGCATTGAAGGCCGGGTGCTGTGACTTACGTCTGTAATCCCAGCACTTTGGGAGGCTGAGGCGGGTGGATCACCTGAGGTTGGGAGTTTGAGACCAGCCTGACCAACATAGAGAAACCCCATCTCTACTAAAAATACAAAATTAGCCAGGCGTGGTGGTGTATGCCTGTCTGTAATCCCAGCTACTTGGGAGGCTGAGGCAGGAGAATCACTTGAACCCAGGAGGCGGAGGTTGCAGTGAGCCGAGATCGTGCCATTGCACTGCAGCCTGGGTGACAAGAGCAAAAGTCACTCTAAAAATAAAAAGGATGCATTGAAAAGAAGTGAAGGGCCAGCTGTGGTGGCTCATGCCTGTAATCCTAGCATTTAGGGAGGCCGAGATGGGCAGATCAGTTGAGCTCAGGAGTTCGAGACCAGCCTGGCCAACATGGCAAAACCTTGTCTCTACAAAAAAAATACAAAAATTAGCCAAGTGGGGTGCTGTGCACCTTTAAGAACAAAAGAAAGAAGTAAAGGAGTATGTTGAGTCTAGGGGATGTCCTGGGAAAGAGGAAACAATTCAAAGCACTAAGGCAAGAGGAGAGTATGCTGGCATGCTTGGGGAACAGCAAAGAGGCCAACGCAGGACAGAGTGCAAAAGAGGAAGAACAGTAGATGTATGAGAGGTAAAGGCTGAGGATAGAGATGGATAGATTATATAGGGCAATTGCAAGGATTTTGATTTTTACTCCAAGTGAGCCTTTAAAACACTAGTGACCTTGAGGGCAACCTTCCCTAATGCTTTCATTTATAATTGACTAAATAGATCTAGAGTGCTTAAGTGACTTACACAAAGTAATATTGGCAATTTAGCTTTTTTTTTTTTTTTTTTTTGAGACAGAGTCTTGTTCTGTCGCCCAGGCTGGAGTGCAGTAGCACAGTCATGGCTCACTGTAGCCTCAATCTCCCAGACTCAAGTGATTCTCTTGCCTCAGCCTCCCAAGTAGCTGGGACTGCAGGTGTGTACCGCCACACCTGGCTATTTTTTTATTTCTTGTGGAGACAGGGTTTCACCATGTCACCCAGGCTGGTCTTGAACTCCTGGGCTCAAGTGATCGTCCTGCTTTGGCCTCCCAGAATGCTGGGATTACAGGCATGAGTTGCTGTGCCTGGCCAAGCAGTTTAGTTTTCAAGATTTATAACTTTCAGACTAGCAGATTCTGCAGTTACATAGGCAGTGTTTCTTGAAACAAACTTTCTGTGTTTCAGATTATTTTATGCTTAGCCTTTGTATTTCTTGATGAGAGAGATCTGACTTTAAAACTTCCTGTATGGGGCCAGCAGTGGTGGCTCACGTCTGTAATCCCAGCACTTTGGGACGCCGAGGTGGGTGGATCACGAGGTCAGGAGATCAAGACCATCCTGGCTAACACAGTGAAACCCTGTCTCTACTAAAAATACAAAAAATTAGCCGGGTGTGGTGGCGGGTGCCTGTAGTCCCAGCTGCTCGGGAGGCTGAGATAGGAGAATGGCATGAACCTGGGAGGCGGGGCTTGCAGTAAGCTGAGATTGCGCCACTGCACTCCAGCCTGGGCGACAGAGCGAGACTCCATCTCAAAAAACAAAAACAAAAACAAAACCAAAAATTCCTGTATGGAAACCTGTCACTCCCGTTGTCCCCTACTTTTTTTTAACCTTTTCTAGTTCGTGAAGTATATTTCAGCTGTTAGCCATACAGTAATTGAAAGTAACTATCTCTGTATAGTTTTTGTTTGTTTGTTTGAGATGGAGTCTTGCTCTGTTGCCCAGGCTGGAGTGCATTGCGTGATCTTGGCTCACTACAACCTCCGTCTTCTGGGTTCAAGTGATTCTCCTGCCTCAGCCTCTTGAGTAGCTGGGATTGTAGGTACCTGCAACCATGCCTGGCTAATTTTTGTATTTTTAGTAGAGAAGGGGTCTCACCATGTGGCTAGGCTGGTCTTGAACTCCTGACCTCAAATAATCCATCTGCCTCAGTTTACCAAAGGGCTGGTATTATAGGCATGAACTAGTGCGCCTGGCCTCTCTCTGTATAGTTTTACAGTTAGTTTATTCTTAGATTCAGCATCTTGTAGGTTGTTTTTTTGTTTTGTTTTGTGTTTTTGAGACAGAGTTATGCTCTTGTCACCAGGCTGAAGTTCACTGGCATGATCTTGGCTCGCTGCAACCTCCATCTCCCAGGTTCAAGCAATACTCGTGCCTCAGCCTCCTGAGTAGCTGGGATTACAGGCGCCTGCCACCACACCCAGCTAATTTTTGTATTTTCAGTAGAGATTGTGTTTTACCATGTTGGCCAGGCTGGTCTTGAACTCCTGACCTCAAGTGAGCCACCTGCCTTGGCCTCCCAAAGTGCTGGGATTACAGGTTTGAGCCACCACACCCAGCCAATTTGGCGTTTTGTTGTCCCTTTTGACTTCAGTAGCACATTGGGCTTATTTATATTTTATTCTTAAATACCTCTGCAGAATCACATTTGATTGTAAATAGCTTATACTTAAATATGATTTGTTTTCCCATATAATTAGTCTACATTAGCCAGCATTGTAACCTTGTTAGAATTTCCTGTGAACCTCCGTGTTGTTTACTGCCAGAAGAATGTAGGAGGGTTAGTACATTTGGAAATGTGGTAACTACTCCTAGGTAATTTTTATTTAGGAATATTGCTTAAGATTAGTTTTTAGGCCAGGCGTGGTGGCTCACGCCTGTAATCCCAGCACTTTGGGAGGCTGAGGCAGGTGGATCACCTGAGTTTGGGAGTTTGAGACCAGTCTGGCCAACATGGTGAAACCCCATCTCTACTAAAAATAGAAAAATTGACCAGTCATAGTGGCGCATGCCTGTAATCCCAGCTACTCGGGAGGCTGAGGTAGGAGAATCACTTGAACCTGGAGGTAGAGGTTGGGGTGAGCTGAGATGGCACCATTGCACTTCAGCCTGGGTGACAAGAGCGAAACTCCGTCTCAAAAAAAAAAAAAAAAGATTAGTTTTTTTTTGTTTTTTTTTTTGAGATGGAGTCTGGCTCTGTCGCCCAGGCTGGAGTGCAGTGGCCGGATCTCAGCTCACTGCAAGCTCCGCCTCCCGGGTTTACGCCATTCTCCTGCCTCAGCCTCCCGAGTAGCTGGGACTACAGGCGCCCGCCACCTCGCCCGGCTAGTTTTTTTGTATTTTTTAGTAGAGACGGGGTTTCACCGTGTTCGCCAGGATGGTCTCGATCTCCTGACCTCGTGATCCGCCCGTCTCGGCCTCCCAAAGTGCTGGGATTACAGGCTTGAGCCACCGCGCCCGGCCAAAAGATTAGATTTTAATGCAGATCTTTCAGAGAACTCATGATAGGTACTTATATATCCAGTTATTCTTTATAAATATCCAGGTTTATATTAGTTTTTTTTTTTTTTTTTTTAGACAAGAGTTTCGCTCTTGTTGCCCAGGCTGGAGTGCAATGGTGCAACTTCAGCTCACCGCAACCTCCGCCTCACTGCACCCTCCACCTCCCAGATTCAAGTGATTCTCCTGCCTCAGCCTCCTGAGTAGCTGGGACTTCAGGCATGCACCACAATGCCCAGCTAATTTTGTTTTTTTTGGTAGAAATGAGGTTTCTTCATGCTGGCCAGTCTGATCTTAAACTCCCGACCTCAGGTGATCCGCCCACATTGGCCTCCCAAAGTGCTGGGATTACAGGCGTGAGCCACTGCACCTGGCCTATATTAGTTTTTAAGCTTCCTAATTCAGATCCTTGCCAGTGGGTAAAATATTTTCCAGGAAACCATTAGATAGCTATTCAGGTTACCTTGGGAGCTGTGGCTACTCTCTTGAATGCTAAAACATTGTCTTTTTCTGATTTGGCAGATACAAATGGATTATATTGAGAAGCTTATGACATTGGTTGTCAGTAAACCCTTTTTAGTGAGATTTCAGGCATGTGGTAGGAGAATAGACTCTACCCTTCAAGCCTACTTTAGAACTAGAAGGATCAAGCTGGTTATAACTGTCATATATTTGTTCATGCTTTGGGGGTCCAATTGAAGGCATTTGTTTAAAGTGCCATCATGAAATCCATCTTCAGCTACTTGCATTTTTTTTTTCTGATCTTGTGATTTCTCTGAAAATTAAAGTAGCATGAAATCACATAATAGAATAAATAAATGAAAGTTTAAAAAGATTAATATTATTGTAAAACTTCTTCAGGCTATATAGAAAATGGAAGCTACAAAAGCTTTGTAAGTTTTTCCTTTCATATCAGCAATGTGTGGTTTCATTTTACTTGCTTGATTTTGTTGCCAATTTATATGTAATCCTTTGAACATAGAATTGATTTGTATCCAAAATTGTTTGATGTAACAGCTGTTATATCAACAAGAAATTCTGATTTTTGTTCTTCAATATGATTCATACTTCATTCTAGACATGAAAATAAACTGTATGTTCCTAGTTCAGCACAAATGACAAGAAGGAAATTCCAAAAGGCTAAGCCAAATTTGGGAAGAGCACACAGTAAGAAAGAGGAACCAATTTTAGAAAAAGGCACAACAGATCAGAGCAAGGAAGGCAAGCCAGAAGATCATTTGCTGCAGAAAGGAGCTTCCAACACCCAGCTCCTTCTAAAAGTAAGTTTGGGCAAAAAAAAAAAAAAAATTTCTCAATGAGGTCTATTTTGTCAAGATCATGAAGAGCATGAGTAAAATATAGTTTTGACTTCCTTCCATACTGTAACTATTTTCATGAAAAGTGACTTTCTAGTGTTACAAAAGATGAGCAACCAATTGCTTGTAATATATGTGTAAACTTGGAGATTTAGGCCAAACTAACAAACCAAATTAACATAGAGATTGTTTCTGTAGTAATAACTGTTTAATTTCTTCTTAAATCTAAGGAAAAAGCTGAGCTTCTGACATCTATGGCAGCAAGAAAAGATTGTGTAGGTTCCAACGAGTCTGCTTTGGCAAAAATAGATGCTGAATTAGAAGAAGCTGGACCATCAAGAAGGGTTGGAGAGGAAACTGTAGGAGATAATTCACTATCTTCAGTTGTTGAAGAGCAATATCTCAATAAACTAACAAGGTAACATTTTATTTAACAAAATGTTTCACAATAGGAAATAAAAATCACTTAACTTTTACAAAACTTAACTTACTGGTAGAACGAAATTTTTGGGTGTTGAGTCTGTTAGACATGGGTAGAAACATGACCAAAGAGTAGTAATTAAGCTAAGTAATTAAGGTGCTCATTTGAATGGAGTCACAAACAAAATGAAGAATACCCTACTTCTATAGTTTTCAAAGAAAATGGAAAGAAACTTAAGTTCTAGAAACCAGCGCTGCTCTAATGGATTTCTGCTGCCTCCTTTTTCTTTTAACCTATCTGTTTACCCAGTAGGATAAACTAATACCACCTTTTGATCTCATATTCTGTATTTGTTGGTCCTGTGTGTGTGTTTTGTTTTTTTGTTTTTTTGTTTTTTGAGACAATTTCATTCTTCTCGTGCAGGCTGGAGTACAATTGTGTGATCTTGACTCACTGCAATCTCCACCTCCCTGGTACAAGTAATTCTCCTGCCTCAGCCTCCCGAGTAGCTGAGATTGCAGGCGTGCACCACCATGCCCAGCTAATTTTTGTATTTTTAGTAGAGATCGGGTTTCACCATGTTGGCCAGGCTTGTCTTGAACTCTTGACCTCAAGTGATCTGCCTGCCTCATCCTCCCAAAGTGCTGGGATTACCGGGGTGAGCTACTGCTCCCAGCTGGTTCTGTGTTTTTTATCCCTTTTTCTTCTAATAATTATCAGTTTTGTGTTTATTTTATCTTCACTTTCTTATTACAGGAAAGAATGGCCCAGAATTAAAAACTTACTATGAAAAATTTGTAGGTAGATAACTAAGAATTAACTCTGAATGAGAAACTAGTAGTTAATTCCTTTTTTATTTTCACAGCATAAGATTTTAAAAGAATGGGTGGTGGGCATTTTCATTTTAATGACTGGAACCGGAGTTTCACTCTAAAAGTTTGGTTTTCATTGAAATTATCCTTGCATGCATATGACCTTGTTGTTTTGATTAAACGTCTAGCTGTCCACAACCGTTAAAAGAATCAAATTACTCTAAAATTGCTCTGGATGGGAAAACAACTATCTCTTCTGCATCTGAGTATGAGAGAAATCGTGGTGAAAGGAGAAGTCACAGAAAGATCAAACCAAATGTCACCAGAGGTCGTGGATCAAAACGAGTTCGGGGTAAGACCTCTAAGAAGGAACCTAGAGCTTCCAAGGCCATACTGGTGACTCTTCGGGCTTCCCAGGAAGAAGAAGATGATGCTGATGATTTTGAGTCTGACTATGAAGAAGAAAGCTGTCATCTTGCTCCTGAAGAAGTAAACAAAGCTCCAGTATTTGTACCTGTTGGTCTCAGATCTCCGGAACCTGTTTCTGCTCAGATAGAGGAAACAATGGAAGAGGTTTGGTTTTGTTTTTTTAATCCTTGGTACTTTTATCTTACTTGGTTTTTACCTCTTGTTTCTTTTAGGGGATCGTTATATCTTCTCTTAGTGATTATTAGGATTTGAAGAGTTATTTCTCTAAATAACCTCTACCAAATATAATTTGGGGCTTTGTATAACCTTTTGTGATTGCTCAGACCCTATGGTGCAGGCCCAGCAAGGGAGTCAGTATAACAACAATGAGAGAAATCTGCTTACACTTGTACCTAGAAGCTGCTTAGTCCACTTTCTGATTAATCTTTCAAACATTTTGGCAGGTGTTTTCTGGTTGATAGAGAAGCGAGAAGGGACTTACTTGTTTTCTTTTTTTAAAAAAATTGGGCCAGGCGTGGTGGCTCACGCCTGTAATCCCAGCACTTTGAGAGGCCAAGGTGGATGGATCACCTGAAGTCAGGAGTTTGAGACCAGCCTGACCAAGGTGAAACTCTGTCTCTGCTAAAATACAAAAATTAGCTAGGCATGGTGACAGGTGCCTGTAGTCCCAGCTGCTGGGGAAGCTGAGACAGGAGAATTACTTGAACCCTGGGAGGCGAAGAGTGCAGTGAGCCAAGATCGCGCCACTGCACTCCAGCCTGGGCGACAGAGCGAGACTCCATCTCAAAAAAAATAAAATAAAATAAAAATTTAAAAAGTGCTAAAATACATGTAACCTAAAATTTACTATCTCTGTCTCTCTGTTTTTTTTTTTTTTGAGACAGGATCTCACTCTGTCACCCAGGCTGGAGTGCAGTGGTGGGATCTCAGCTCACTGCAACCTCCACCTCCCAGGTTTAAGTGGTTCTCCTGCCTCAGCCTCCTGTAGCTGGGACTAACAGGTGTGCACCACCACGCCTGACTAATTTTTGTATTTTTGGTAGAGACGGGGTTTTATCATGTTGACCAGGGTGGTCTTGAACTCTTGAACAACTCAAGCAGTCCACCAGCCTTGGCCTCCCAAATTGCTGGGGTTACAGGCGTGAGCCACCGTGACCAGCCATCTTACTCATTTTTAAGTGTATGGTTCAGTGGCATTAAGAACTTTCACATGTACATGTTGTCATGCTACCATCACTACCATCCATCCACAGAACTCTTTTTTAAAATTAATTAATTTAGAGATGGGGTTTTGCTACATTGCCCAGTCTGGTCTCAAACTCCTGAGCTCGGCCTTCCAAAGTGCTGGGATCACAGGCATGAGCTACTGTGTTCTTTTTTAAGATGATTAAGACATCCTGCAATGAGTGGTTGTCCCCTAGCCTGGCAAAAAACCAAGATACAAGATACAAACACTCAACACCTGTCCCTCGAGCCCTATCCCTGTCCTGTCTGGCCTGGTCACTCCCAGGTCTGCCTTGCACCCCTGGCAGACTCTTTTTATTTTGTTAAAACTGAAATTCTATACCCATTAAACAATAACTCTCCATTCCTCCCCCTAACCTTTTGGCAACCACTTTTTTACATCTTGGCTCTGTAATTTGACTCCTCGTATAAATGGAATCATACAGTACTTTTTTGTGTGACCATTTTATTTCATTTAGCATAGTGTTTTCATAGTTCATATATGTTGTAGCTTATGTCAGAGTGTTCTTCATTTTCAAGGTTGAATAATATTCCATTGTGTGCATGTATCACATTTTGTTTATTCCTTTATTATCAATGGACACTTGGGTTGCTTCCACCTTTTGGCTGTTAGAAATAATGCTGGTATGAACATAGTTGTATAAATACCTCTTTGAATCTGCTTTTACTTTTTGGGGGATATACCCAGAAGTGGAATTGCTGGATTGTATGTAAATTCTTTTTTTTTTTTTTTTTGAGATGGAGTCTCTGTCACTTAGACTGGAGTAGAGTACAGTGGTGCGATCTTGGCTCACTGTAACCTCCATCTCCCAGGTTCAAGCAATTCTCCTGCCTCAGCCTCCCAAGTAGCTGGGATTACAGGCGCCTGCCACCACATCCTGCTAATTTTTTTGTATTTTTAGTACAGGTGGGGTTTCACCGTGTTGGCCAGGCTGGTCTCAACCTCCTGACCTCAAATGATCCACCTACCTGGGCCTCCCAAAGTGCTGGGATTACAGGTGTGAGCCGCTGCACCCGGCCTGGATCATATGTTAATTCTATACTTAACTTTTCAAGCAACCTTTATACTGTTTTTCACAGGGTTATATCATTTTACATCCCTATCAACAGCGTACATCCTCACGGGTGGTAGCCATGTTGTAACTTTTGATAGTAACCATCCTAAGGGTTGTGAACTAGAGGAACATATTGAACGTATTTAGCTTCGTTACACTTTTGCCTCTTAGTCTGCCATTCCAACTTTGTAACTTCAGAGTTTTCTGTTCTGCCTCAATTTTCAGTCACTTCTTTGGCTTACTGAGGAGCTTATCTAAGTCAGTTTTGGGTAAGCATTCATGATAGTTTCTGAGTCATTTGAAATGAATCAGAGTTAACTAAGATAGTGGCAACAATAAAAGAAACAATAAGAAACATTAAACAATTCAAGTAATGTTTAAGATAATTAAAGAAAACTTTAAATGTTAATGTAATTCCATTAAGAATTAACAGATTATCTGAATCTGTAAAGTCATATATGAAGGGAAGTCAAAACCTACTTTTATTTACTTTTATTCAGTGTTAATAATAAACTGGTAAATGTTTTAGAGTAAATGAACTAATAAAATGGTTGAAGCTAATTTAAATGATGCAAAATGAGGTTGTTTCTTACAATTCAAAGTAAAGATAGTGAATGTGAGCATTATGTGAAACAAGAAAATGCAGAAGGAAGGGTAATTTTGTGGAAAGACATCTGGTTAATGCTGCATGAGAGTTCATTTAGCTATCTATTTTGCATTTTTCTTTCTTTAAGTGAAGCCAAATTGCTAGTGAAACTATGATCAGTAATTAATTTCTGAAAATTAGATTCCAGACTCTATCCCTGAATTAATACAGGCTATCTTTTTAAATAGCAGTAATCATAGTAATTGAACAAGGCTTTCCTTAAATTCTATTCCTTGTGGCCAGCCTACTAAACAAGGAAATATATATGTTAGAAAAAATATATATGTTAGAAAAAATTTTCTTTAAAAAGCATTGAGGCTGGGCACGGTGGCTTACGCCTGTAATCCCAGCACTTTGAGAGGTTGAGGCGGGCAGATCATGAGGCCAGGAGTTCGAGACCAGCCTGGCCAACATGGTGAAACCCCATCTCTACTAAAAATACAAAAATTAGCTGGGCGTGGTGGTGGGCTCCCGTAATCCCAGCTACTCGGGAGGCTGAGGCAGGAGAATCACTTGAAACCAGAAGGCAAAGATTGTGGTGAGCCAAGATAGGACCACTGTACTCCAGCCTGGGCGAAAGAGCGAAACTCTGTCTCAAAAAAAAAAAAAGCATTGAAAGGCCAGGCATTGGCGGCTCACGTCTGTAATCCCAGTGATTTGGGAGGCTGAGATGGGAGGATCAGTTGAGGCCAGGAGTTCAAGACCAGCCTATACAACATAACAAGACCCTGTGTCTGCATTCAATCAATAAATTAGCGAAGTGTGTTGGTGCACATTTATAATCCCAGCTACTCAGAAGGCTGAGTGGGGAGGATTGCTGGAGCCCAGGAGTTTGAGGTTACAGTGAGCTACAATCATGCCACTGCATTGTAGCCTGGACAACAGGAGGAGACAAAAGCATTGAAACACAATGGAACGTTTTTCTGCCCTAAAGGGACATAAAGTGTTGATATGTGTTACAACATGGATGAATTTTGGGAACCTTCTGCCAAGGGAAAGAAACTAGTTACAAAGTGTCACATATTATGTGATTCCGTTCATATGAAATGTCCAAAATAAGGAAATCCAGAGAGACAGAAAATAGATTAGTAGTGGCTTAGGGATTGGGAGATAGGGAAGAGAGGTAGGTTAAGGGAGAGATAGCTAGTGGGTATAAGGTTTATTTTTGAAGTGATGAAAATGTTCCACATTTGAATGTGGTAATGATTGCACATATCTGTGAATATCCCAAAATACGTTGAATTATACACCTTAAGTGGGTGAATTGTATGTTATGTGAATTACAAGTCTTTTTTAAAATTACGAAACTGTGTGATGCTTAAAAAACCAACTTTTACTTTATAGAATATTCCCTTTTCCCATCCAGTCCCAACTCTTTAAGAAGAATTTTTTCTTCTCAAATCACCTGAACTTTAACATTTTTTGTTGTGTGTGTTTGTTTTTTTCTTTTCTTTTCTTTTCGTTTCTTTATTTTTATTTTTTTTTGAGACAGGGTCTCACTCCGTTGCCCAGGGTCTCACTCCATTGCCCAGGCTGAAGTGCAGTGGCATGATTTCAGCTTGCTACAACCTCTGCCTCCCATGATTCCAGCTTGCTACAAGCAATCCTCCCACCTCGCCACCTGAGTAGCTGGGACTACAGGTGCATACCACCACACCCGGCTAATTTTTTTTTTTTTTTTTGAGACGGAGTCTCGCTCTGTCGCCCGGGCTGGAGTGCAGTGGCCGGATCTCAGCTCACTGCAAGCTCCGCCTCCCGGGTTTACGCCATTCTCCTGCCTCAGCCTCCCAAGTAACTGGGACTACAGGCGCCCGCCATCTCGCCCGGCTAGTTTTTTGTATTTTTTAGTAGAGACGGGGTTTCACCGTGTTTGCCAGGATGGTCTCGATCTTCTGACCTTGTGATCCACCCGTCTCGGCCTCCCAAAGTGCTGGGATTACAGGCTTGAGCCACCGCGCCCGGCCAATTTTTTTTTTTGTATTTTCAATAGAGACGGGGTTTCACCATGTTGCCTAGGCTGGTCTCAAACTCCTGAGCTCAAGCAATCTGCCCGCCTCGGCCTCCCAAATGCTGAGATTACAGGCGTGAGCTACCGTGCCCGGCCTATTGTTTTTAAATTCATTTTTTTAGAGACAAGATCTTGCGGTATTGTCCAGGCTGGCCTCAAACTCCTGGGCTCAAGCGCCCCTCCCACCTCAACCTCCGAGTACTTAGAACTACAGGCATGTGCCCCTGCGCTCACTTGAATTTTTTAGTTCATCCCAGTGCTATCAGATATTGTCAAAGATTTTTCTCCAAATTTTGTATCTGAGGAAACAGATGTGGTACATACAAATGTAATTATAACAGATAAGTCGGGGCACAGGGGCTCATGGCCACAGTCCCAGCACTTTGGGAAGCCAAGGTGGGCAGATCACTTGAGTGCAGGAGTTTGAGACCAGCCTAGGCAACACGGTGAAACCTCATCTTTACAAAAAATACAAAAATAAGCTAGGCATGGCGGTACATGCCTGTAGTCCCAGCTACTTGGGGGGCTGAGGCAGGAGGATTGCTTGAGCATGAGAGGTTGAGGCTGTAGTGAGCCCTGATAGTGCCACTGCATCCCAGCTTGGGCGATAGAGTGAGACCGAGTCTCAAAAAAAATAAGATATGTCTTGAAGGCAGATTCTCAGACTTGACTCTTTACTCACAGTTTCTACTCAGCCATACAATATTTTATACTCTTTTTTTCTGTTAATAAGAGAATAGGCCCGGGCGTAGTGGCTGTCATCGCACCACTGCAGCTGGGGTGACATGAGTGAGACCCTGCCTCAGAATAACAAAAGAAAAACAAACAAAAAAGGTAATAAGAACCAGACTGTATTGTATATATTCTAGTAGGTAAATACTTTTTTAGTGCTCAGATTACAGGGCTCTTTAAGTAATAGGACTCAAATGGAGAGTAAATGTTAGTGAACTTCTTATTTTACATGGCTGTTGCCCTGGGTATCAAGAATCACGCAGGGTTTGGGGTTTTGGAAGAAGGGAGTTGGGGTGGGGGCAGTGGTATGATAAATATTTTATTTATATATTTATTTATTTTTGAGAACGAAGTGTTACTCTGTTGCCCAGGCTGGGGTGCAGCGGTGCAATCTCGGTTCACTGCAACCTCCACCTCCCAGGTTCAAGTGATTCTCCTGCCTCAGCCTCTCCAGTAGCTAGGACTACAGGCAGGCACCACCATGCCTGGCTAATTTTTGTATTTTTATTGGAGATGGGGCTTCACTGTGTTGGCCAGGCTGGTCTTGAACTCCTGACCTCAGGTGATCCACCCGCCTCGGCCTCCCAGAGTGCTGGGATTACAGGCGTGAGCCACTGCACCCGGTCGGATAAATATTTTTAAGGACTTTAAACTCATTATAGATTGCATTTATGACAGTATATAATTAGTTGATTACATGTCTACTTTTCTGTTGGATTGTGAGTTCACTGAGGATAGGGACCAAACTTGTCTCATTTGACTTTATATCCCTGTACCCCTAGCCCTCTATAAATGTTAAGAGACTGATCACTCTCTAAATGTTAACAGATTGAACAGAGAAATTAGGGGAAAGTAAAGAGAAAGTGAAGAAAATGGAAAATGAAATGCCAGGCACTAAGAAGATGAGTCTTAGAAAGTTTGCTTACTGGTTGTAATAGTCACAGCCCCCTCAAAAAATTTAAATGTTTTACTTCTGCAAAGTTGCTGTCAGTCAATAAAATAATTACTGCAGCGGCGCGATCTTGGCTCACTGCAAGCTCTGCCTCCTGGGTTCACGCCATTTTCCTGCCTCAGCCTCCCTAGTAGCTGGGACTACAGGCACCCACCACCATACCTGGCTAATTTTTTGTATTTTTAATAGAGATGGGATTTCACCATATTAGTCAGGATGGTCTCAATCTCCTGACCTTGTGATCCCGCCCGCCTCGGCCTCCCAAAGTACTGGGATTACAGGCGTGAGCCACTGTGCCTGGCCACTCCATTTCATTTTTTAAGTTATATATGAATGTGGATTATTTCTTTATTTTAGCATTTCATCTTACTTATTCATGTGGAAGATGAGGTTTTGTTTTGCTGTTTTTAATATGCCAAAATGAAATGATAAAACTTTATTTTGACAGCTTGAAATAACCGTGAATGTCCCAGATGTAGGATGCATAGCTGTTGTTGAACATGAGCTCCCTAACACAGATGTGACTACTGAAGAAATGAAACAAGAAGAAAATTTGAATGCATCATCATTTGTAAGCATCCATTTTCATATGTTTTGGCCTTTTATTCTTTGTTTACTTTGAAAAGACTGGCGGTTCATTTTGATAGCTCTAGGTTTACAAACACTTCTTAGCTAATTTCTCTCTGTAAGGGGCTGTTAGTCTGAATAGTAAAAACTAGTGAAAGCATTGATTTTGTTTGTTTTTGGGCAGAGCTCTTAATATCCTGGTAGACTTTTACATTAACATTCAGTTGCATTAAATTTATACTAAGTATAAACAAGTTAAAATATATTTTGTTGCATTTTATTTGGCACTCTTCCATTATTGATATTTATTTGCCTTTGCAAGTGGAGGCTTGAAATTGTAACTTTTTAAAAACAACTTTATTGACATATAATTCACACACCATATGATTTACCCATTATTTAAAGTGTACAAGTAAGTGATTTCTAGTATCATGCAAACATTATCACAGTAATTTTTAGGACATTTTCATCACCTCAAAAAGAAACCTTTTTAGCGGTCACTACTCATTTCCTCCCAACCCTCCCCAGCCTAGGGAACCAATAATTTGTCTTTTGTCTGTATAGATTTGCCTGTTCTAGACATTTCCTAGACATGAAATTGTAAAATCTGGTCATTTGTGTCTGGCTTCTTTCACTTAATGTAACATTTTTACTGTTCATCTACGTTGCAGCATGTAGTGATACTTCCTTACTTTTTGTAGCCTAATAATATTCCATATGGATATGGTACATTTTGTTTATCTATTCATCCATTCATGAACATTTGGATTATTTTTATTTTTTGTCTGTTATACATAATGCTGCTGTAAACATTCACGTAGAAGTGTTTGTGTGGATATATGTTTTTATTTCTCTTGGGTACATTTCTGGGAATGTAATTGCTGGGTCTTATGGTAACTCAATGTTTCATCATTTGAGGAACTGCCAAACTGTTTTCCAAAGTAGCTATACCATTTTACATTCCCACCAGCAGTTTATGAGGGTTTCTGTTCTTCCATGTCCTTGCCAGCACTTGTTATTTCACTTTTTGGTTTTTTTGTTCTTTTTTTTTTTTTTAAATTTATTTTTAGATGGCCTTGCATTGTCACTCAAACTAGAGTGCAGTAATACAATTGTAGCACACTACAGCCTTGACCTTCTGAGTGTAAATGATTCTCTCCACTCAGCATTCTAAGTAGCTGTGACTACAGGTGTGTGCCACTATGCCCAGCTAATTTTTTTTTTTTTTTTTTTTGGTAGAGGTGGGATCTTGCTGTGTTGCTCAGGCTGGTCTCATACTCCTGTCCTCAAGTGATACTTTTCCCTCAGCCTTCCAAAGGGTTGGGATTACAGTCATGAGCCACTGTGCCTGGCTTGACTTTTTGGATCTAGTTGTCCTAGTGTGTGTGAAGTGGTGTCTCACTGTGGTTTTGATTTGTATTTCCTTGGTGACTAATGATGTCAGGCACATTTTATGTTCCTATTGGCCATTTGTGTATCATCTTTGAGAAATGTGTGTTCAAATATTTTGTCCGTTTTTCTTTTATTGTGCTATTTGTCTTTTTATTATTGAGTTGTAAGGAGTCTTTATATATTCTAGATAAAAGTCCCTTATCAGGTATATGATTTGCAAATATTTCCTCCCTTACTGTGGGTTGTCTTTTCACTTTCTTGATGATTTCCTTTAAAGCAAAAAGTTTTAAATTTTGATGTTCAATTAATCTATTTTTTCTTTTGTTGATCATGCTTCTGTTGTCAGATCTGAGTCCTTTGTCAAACCGAAGGCCATGAAGATTTACGCATTTTTCTTCTAAAAGAGATTTTTGCTTTTACATTTAAGTCTTTGATCCATGTTGAGTTAATTTTTGTACATGGATAACCTCATTATCCAACTTATTTCTTTTGCATATGGCTATCCATTTGTCGTATCACCATTTGTTCGAAAAGACTGTTCTTTCCCCATTGAGTAGTCTTGACACTCTTAACAAAAATCAGCTGACCATAGCTGTATGGGTTTATTTCTGAATTCTGAATTCTGTTGCATAGATCTATATGTCTATTCTTATGCTAGTGATGCTATATTGATCACTGTTACTTTGTAGTAAGTTTTTTTGTTTGTTTTTTTGGTGTTGAGACGGAGTCTGGTCTGTCACCCAGGCTGGATGCACTCCAGGTGGCGTGATCTCAGCTCACTGCAAGCTCCACCTCCTGGGTTCATGCCATTCTCCTGCCTCAGCATCCCAAGTAGCTGGGACTACAGGCGCCCGCCACCATGCCCAGCTAATTTTTTTGTATTTTTAGTAGAGACAGGGTTTCACTGTGTTAGCCAGGATGGTCTTGATCTCCTGACCTTGTGATCCACCTGCCTCGGCCTCCCAAAGTGCTGGGATTACAGGCATGAGCCACCGTGCCTGGCTGCTTTATAATAAGTTTTTGAATTAGGAAGTGTGAGTTTTACTTTATTGTTTTTTGGAATGGTTTTGGCTATTGTGGGTCCCTTTCAATTTCATATGTATTTTATTTTTATTATGTTACATTTTTTTGGTACAGACAGGGCCCCACAGTGTTGCCCAGGCAGGTTTCAAACTCCTGGCCTCAAGTGATTCTCCCATCTCAGCTTCCGTAAGTGCTGAAATTTCAGACATGAGCCACTATCCCCGGCCCCATATGAATTTTGCCTCATATGAATTTTAAAATCAACTTGTCAGTTTCTGCAAAGCAGTCAGCTAGGAATCTTAGTGGGATTGCATTGCATCTGGAGATCAGTTTAAGGGATAATACAATCTTAACAGTGTTGAGATTCTTGATCCAAGAATATGAGATCTTTCCCCATTTATTTAAATCTTCTTTACTTTTTTTTTTTTTTAATTTTTATTTTTAAGACAAGAGGCTTGCTCTGTCACCCGGGCTGGAATGCAGTGGTGCAATCTCGGCTCACTGTAACCTCCACCTCCTGGGTTCAAGCAATTCTTGCCTCAGCCTCCTCAGTAGCTGAGATTACAGGCATTTGTCACTACACCCAACTATTTTTTTGTGTTTTTATTAGAAATGGGGTTTCACTATATTAGCCAGACTGGTTCCCTGGCCTCAAGTGATTTGCCTGCTTTAGCCTTCCAAAGTACTCACATGCGTGAGCCACCACACCTGGCTGATTTAGATCTTTTACTTTCAACAATGTTTTGTAGTTTTTAGCATATAAAGTTTGCACTTCTTTGTTAAATTTATTTCCAAGTATGTTATTTTTGTCACTATTGTGAATGGGATTGTTTTCTTTGTTTTTTTTTGGAGACGGAGTTTCCCTCTTATTGCCCAGGCTGGAGTGCAATGGTGCCATCTTGGCTCTCCACAACCTCTGCCTCCCTGGTTCAAGTGATTCTCCTGCCTCAGCCTCCCGACTAGCTGAGATTACAGGCATATGCCACCACACCCTGCTAATTTTGTATTTTTAGTAGAGATGGGGTTTCTCCATGTTGGTCAGGCTGGTCTCAAAGTCCTGCTCTCAGGTGATCCACCCACCCCGGCCTCCCAAAGTGCTGGGATTACAGGCATAAGCCGCTGTGGCCAGCCTGGGATTGTTTTCTTGATTTCATTTTTGGATTGTTCGTTGAAATTGTGTAGAAATAAAAATGAGTTTTGTATATTAGCTTTATATCCTGCAACAACTTTGGTAGATTCCTTAGGATTTTCTGTATGTCAAATCATGTCATCTGCAAATAAAGATAGTTTTACCTCGTTCTGTATTAGTTTCCTAGTATCACTATAACAAAGTACAGATGCTCCTCAACTTATGAGGAGATTACATCCTGATAAATCTATCATAAAATAACTATATATATATATATATATATATTTTTTTTTTTTTTTTTAAAGACAGAGTCTCACTCTGTTGCCCAGGCTGGAGTGCAGTGGTGCCATCTCGGAGACTCGCTACACCCTCCGCCTCCCAGTTTCAAGTGATTCTCCTGCCTCAGCCTCCAGAGTAGCTGGGATTACAAGTGCCCGCCACCACACCCAGCTAATTTTTGTATTTTTAGTAGAGATGAGGTTTCACCATGTTGGTCAGGCTGGTCTCGAACTTCTGACCTCAGGTGATCTTCCCACCTTGGCCTCCCAAAATGCTGAGATTACAGGTGTGAACCACCGTGCCCGGCCTAAAATAAAAAATTTAAGTCGGGTACTCTTTGAACTACCAAGTTGTTAGCTTTTACCCACAAAAAGTTCTCCAGGCACTTATGGAGATAAGAAAAACAAAACAAAACAAATTTATTCTCTCACAGCTTTAGAGTCTAGAAGTCTAAAATCAAGGTGTCACCAATGTTGGTTCCTTCTGGAGGCTCTGAGAAAGAACCATCCCATGCCTTTCTCCTGCCTTCTGGTGGTAGCCAGCAGTCCTTATCATTTCTCAGCATGCAGCAGCATACTTCCACCTTCTGCCTCTATTACCACATGGCATTTTCCCTTTCTGTATGTGTATCCTGTCATCTTATAAGGAAAGGACACCAGTCATATTGGATTAGGACCAACTCTGATCCAGTATGACCTCATCTAAATTTGATTGTATCTACAAATACCGTATTTTTAAATAATGTCGTGTTCACATTATTTGGGATTAAGACTTTGACGTATCTTTCTAGGGGACACAATTCAACCTTTAATACTTTCTTACCTGAATGCCTTTTATTTCTTTTTCTTGCCTAATTGCCCTGGCTGGAACCTATAGTTCAATGTTTAATAGAAGCAAGAGTGGGCATTTTGGTCTTATTCCTGATCTTAGGGGGCAAGTATCCAGTCTTTCATCATTTATTTTTTCATAATTGAGATTTTGTTGGTTGTGTTAAGGATCAGTACACAATTCTTCACATTTATACTGAAAATCTAAAAAGCCATGTATTGTAATTATTTTTAGAAGTTACTCCAGTGACTTTCCAGCTTAAAATTTGGAGGCAAGTTTTCATTAAAAGGCTATCAAGTGCTAGTATCCTTACATATTGATAAACTGTTACATACTTCCACAATTTGCAGTTAAATAGCATGTATACTACATACTTAAATTTTCAGTCTTTCATAGCACATTAACAAAGTTATTAGGAAAACAGGACTACCACAACCAAAGATTTATAGAGTGCACACAATTCTGACAGGGATTCCAAATTACTGGGATTACAGCCATGATCAAGGAATGGTTTTCTTTAGGAAGCAATTCTACTAAAAAACAACATGGGCCCAGGCGCGATGACTCATGCCTGTAATCCTAGTAATTTGGAAGGTGGGAGGATCGCATGGTAGTTCAAGGTCAGTCTGGGCAACAGAGGGAGACCCTGTCTCTACAAATACGTTTTTTAAAAGTTGGCCAGGCATGTTGGCATGCGCCTCTGGTCCCGGCTACTCTGGAGGCTGAGGCAGGAGGCTCGCCTAGGCCCAGGAGGGTGAGGTTGCAGTGAGCTGTCGTTGCCACCACTGCAGCCCAGTCTGAGCATCAGAGCAAGACTCTGTCTCAAACAAAACAGAACCAGGTTGGGCGCATTGACTCACGCCTGTAATCGCAGCACTTTGGGAGGCTGAGGTGGGCAGATCACGAGGTCAGGAGTTTGAGACCAGCCTGGGCAACATGGTGAAACCCCATCTCTACTAAAAATACAAAAAATCAGCTGGGCATGGTGGCGCACGCCTGTAATCCCAGCTACTTGTGAGGCTGAGGCAGGAGAATCGCTTGAACCCAGGAGGTGAAGGTTGCAGTGAGTGGAGATTGCGCCATTGCACTCTAGCCTAGGCAACAGAGCAAGACTCTGTCTCAAAAACAAAACAAACAAACTAGCAAACTAAAGAACCAGAACCAAACCATGGGAATAAAAGTAACTAAAAAATTTCAAGACATCAGATGCCGGACTGTGACTCCATATTAATAGTTAATATAGTGGAAGGGTAAGCTGATACCTAAGACAGTCAAAGCCTCCCATAATTCAGTATTCCACACTGTTTTCTGGTTGTACCAAAAAATAAACAACTGGCAAATGATTTTTACCCTTAAAAGCATTTACAGTTAAAAAATGGGATGTGGTGGGATTCCTTTCTTCTTAAAAATGTTTCTAGAGTTACTAAAAAACTTGCATTTATGAAATAGTTGATAAAAATATTCCTCTGGAATGTACAAGAAGGGAGACAAGGACTATTGGTAAGACATGGTATATGATATTAATCAGACTTGGCTTTTTCTCTCCGGCTTCATCAGAGGCTGGACTTTCCTTGGTTTTTGTTTCTCTGTTTTCTGTAGGTAAATGTGATTTCTTGCTTAGCCACTTTGGTCTGTTTTCCCTTTGTTCCCCTTTTTTCTCTTGTTTGCACTTTTTTGTTTGGAGATTTATCCTTTCCTGCTGCCTTTTTTGGCTTTGTTTCCACTTATGCAGGAGCGGGTTTAGCTGACAGTCATACCAATCTCATGTTGGGCTCTTTCCTTCACTGCCCTTCTGCTGAGCTGATCTTTCTCTTGGGCATCTTGCGGCCGGGAGTGTGCGTGTTGGTGCCTGTGAGCCGCACCATGCTGAGAGCCTTCTCAAAGCTGGGCTGCCTGGCTGCTACCACTTCTCCTGTCCTGTCTTATCATTAAGTGTAATGTTACTATGGGTTTTTCATAAATGTCCTTTACCAGGCTAAAGATGTTACTTTCCATTCCTAGTTTGTTGAATGTTTCTTTCATTAAAGGCTGTTGGAATTTGTCATGCTTTTTCCGCATTTATGGAGGTGATCATGTGAATTTTGTTTTTTATTGTATTGATTTTTGGATGTTAAACCAACCTCACTTCCCCAGGAAATATTCTAGAGTCATAATGTCTAATTTTTATACATTGTTGGATTTGGCTTGCTAGTATTTTATTGGTGATTTTTGTGTCCATATTCATAATAAATATTGGTCTGTACTTTTCTTGTGATGTCAGGAGCTGAAGTCCTACTCCCCTAGGGAAAAATGCTCTCCAGGTGGGACCTTGGGGACTGAGGGCCTTGTATTTTTGGGTGCAGCAGTTTGAGGTGGAGTCTCTGCCATGCTGAGCTGGGAGGAAGGAGAGAGAGAACAGTTTTGGTTCACATAGACTCTCACCTTTGTTAGCAAATTTTCAGATTTTCTTGAACAGATATTTCTTCGTTTGCTTTTTGTCGCTAGGATCATTTTCAGAGGCTGTTAAATGTTTTGTTTTTAAAATCGGTTTCACTGAGGAGTGGGTCAGTGAAGCTTCTCAAGTTGTCGCTCTGGACATTGGTTCTGTAACTTCTTAATTTATTAAAATGCGTTTAAGTTTTAAGCTACGTAGGATTATAAAAATTTTGCAATACCCTTCAGGCCTTGGTTTCCATTGGTAAAAATTGGCAGCAGATATGACTAGAGTTGAAAGATTATGAAAATGAAGAAGTAAAGTAAGAATGGTAGACATACATAACAATATGATAAGAGTTAAAATTTGCACATAATACAATATAAAGATAAAATCAGGAGCAAGAGACACAAAAATTTTGCCTTTAAATTATTTCTGTTCTTGCTGGTGAGATTTTGTGAATAATTATAAATTAAGACAAACCAGTTTATGCTATTGTAACTCAAAGTATGGAAAGACCTCTAAAAATGTAGTGCGTGTTGAGAAACAGAACATGTTTGGAGAAATATTTAAGATATTACTTATTTTTTTCATTTTTAGGAAATGACCACAGGTGAACATATCCAAGATGAACCAGGTAACTGTTATCAAGGAAACTGCTAAGACTACCTTGATTAACAATAGTACAATGATTTAATAGTGGGGATAATAAATGAATCCGTTTGCTGGAGAGTTTAACAAAAAGATTCAGCTATTGAATGTGTTATCTCTGTGAGAAATGTGGATTCTTAGAATGTTATTTTAGAAGGTGAATTAAAAGTTAAATGTTTAAGAAATATTTGAGCATTTCCTCTGGATCTGTACAAATGGGAGAGCATTTTCCTTGAAGATATTATTTAATGGGAGGGAGGCATGGTCAGTGAGTCAAAACCAACAGTGATGATTTATTTATCTGTAACATATAACCTGAACAAAAGACTACCCTATTAAGGGATTAATGGTTCGGAGGATATTGGAATCTGCTACTAGGAGATAAACACCTCAATTAAAAATATTTTTTAAGTGAACAGATTTCCAGATTCATTCTTTTGTTTTAATGTTGATATATTTCCTCACAAGGTACCAGTGATGGAAGCACTGAAGCTGCAATAACTTTACTTACAATGGGAGATCTAGTATTGCAGTCAGAGATCAGTACTGAACAGGGTGATGGTAAGAATGAAAGCTAAGTCCTACCAAAAATAGAAACTTTTAAAACCTAACTTTTAAGAAATTATACCCACATTTGAGTAATAACCCTTTTACATTTGAATTTGTCTCCATTTTGTTGTTCTTCCATAAAATGTGATATGTATATTTGATCTATCCACTATTTTACTACTGTTTAGGTATAGTGACAGCCAATTCAAGATCGTACACTTGGTTTATTAAGAATAATTTGTATTCAAGCCGGGCATGGTGGCCCACACCTGTAATCCCAGCACTTTGGGAGGCCGAGGCGGGTGGATCAGGAGGTCAGGAGATCAAGACCATCCTGGCTAACACTGTGAAACCCCATCTCTACTAAAAATACAAAAAATTAGCCGGTCATGGTGGCGGACGCCTATAGTCCCAGCTACTTGGGAGGCTGAGGCAGGAGAATGGCGTGAACCTGGAACCTGGGAGGTGGAGCTTGCAGTGAGCCGAGATTGCACCACTGCACTCCAGCCTGGGCAACAGAGCGAGACTGTGTCTCAAAAAATAAATAAATAAATAAATAAATAAATAAAAAGAATAATTCGTATTCATGGAATAGTTGCTCTAGTGAATACTGCCATTACCATCATGAATGTCATTGGTTAACTGAGCTCATTGATCACTGATCGCTTTATACATGTGTCTTTAGCCAAGGAGTTGCTGCTTGGGATGGTATTCACAATTAGATGACAAATACGGTACAAAGAGACAATAGCACTCATTGAAATAATTTAGTTTAAACTGTTCTCAGTTTGGACAGAGCCAAAAGATTTATCAACCAAGATTTTTAATTTATTAGACGGAAATCACAGACAGGCGATAAATCTTTACTATCTAACTATCTTTTAAGTGCATGAAATGAGTAATTATACTATTCCTGGTAATTATTTTGCTTGGTTATGAGTACTCTACCGTTCATTTTATTTACTTATTTATTTATTTGAGACGGAGTTTGATTATGAGTAGCCTACTATTCATCTTTATTTATTTATTTATTTGAAGCAGAGTTTCACTCTTGTCACCCAGGCTGGAGTGCAATGGCGCAATCTCGGCTCGCTGCAACCTCTGCTGCCCAGGTTCAAGCAACTCTCCTGCCTCAGCCTCTCGAGTAGTTGGGATTACAGGCACCTGCCACCATGCCCAGCTAATTTTTGTGTTTTTAGTGGAGTTGGGGTTTCACCATCTTGGCCAGGCTAGTCTTGAACTCCGGACCTCAGGTGATCCATCTGCCTTGGCCTCCCAAAGTGCTGGGATTACAGGCATGAGCCACTGCGCTAGCCTCCATTCATTTTAAGTAATAGACTTTTGGGCCAGATGCGGCAGCTCAAGCCTATAGTACCAGCACTTTGGGAGGCCAAGGCCGGTGAATGCTTGACTTCAGGAGTGGAACTCCGTCTCTATAAAAAATACAAAAAATTAGACAGGCATGGTGGTGTACGCCTGTAGTGCTAGCTGCTTGGGAAGCTGAGGTGAAAGGATCGCTTGAGCTCAGGAAGTCAAGACTGCAGTGAGCTGAGATCGTGCCACTGCACTCCAGCCTGGGTGACAAAGTGAGACCCTGTCTCCAAAGTAGATAGGTAAAAACGTATTAGACTTTTAGGCTTGGAACCATATATTTATCAGGAAAGTCTCTGGTTTGTGTTCTGTATAGGGCTCCTTTCTTAGTGGCAGAGTATTGCAGTAGAGCCTGTCAGAAACATATAGAACATAAAGTACACATAGAACATAAAGGTTTTAAAAATCTTAAATGCTGGCAGTGCTGTCTATCTTGAAATCCATCTGAGAGTATATAATTACTCAAAATAACAAAAGGACTCATTTTTACTAATAATTGCATAAAATTTCAGTCTATCAGGATTATTAAGCTCACAATAGGTCAAATCCCTGGCATGAAATAGGGAGATCATAAATTTATAGCCAACAAGAGCAAACTTTATTTATTTTTTAAATCTTTTTCTATTGCTGCCGCATAAATGAAGCAAACTTTAATAATACAGAATTTTACAGTTACTAAATGTTGAAGAATTTATTTTGAGCATCTAATTTGGTCCATTTTAATTTTTTTTTTTTTTTCTTCAGTAGGGGTATGTATACTTCCTCATGTACATTCAAGGGATAAAAGCCATATTCCTTTTAGCCTAGATAATGTAAATCACAAAATTGTTCATGAATGTCAGGAGCTTTCTTCACCTGTCATTACTACGTCTCCTGCATCATTTGAAGAAAACAAGATTGTATTGGAGGAGCAAAGTTCCAGAGAAGAAATAAGTTTAATGGAGAAAGTAAAGGAGAATGCTACACCAACCAGGTTTATTTTAGTATTCAATTAATAAATATTACTAAAACCACCATCAAATTAGTTAATAGCTTTGAGTAATGCTTGTAAATGTAAAGTAGGCAATGCTAATTTCTTACCCTTTAAAGATGGACTGATTTTGATTTTAGGTTAATGGTTTGCATATTTAAATTATAGTGGTAAATGTTGTATATCTTTGAAACTTTAATGAAATAGATTTATGTAAATGTCTCTGTTTTACAAATACAGACTGAATTCTCATCTTAAGACCTCTAGTAAAGTTACTACTTTGTAATTTTAGTATGAAGAAATGAACACTTGTAGACAATGTGGCACCTAACAGGTCGTTCACTCTATCAGTGCTAGACATAGACAGACTGTATTAATGTGAGAGAGTAAGATCTAACGTGATTCATAAATTTCTCTATCTTCTGTTTTTAGGAATACAATTTCTAAAGTGACCAGTAATTTGAGAATAAGAAGTAGACTTGCCAAGCCTAAGCCAAATCTTGAGAAGACTTTAGGGACCAACAGGTTTGATGATCATCAGGAAATTTCCAGTTTGTGTGTAACCAAAGGGGAAGAAATGGAAACTCAAAGAGGTAAATTTTATTTTCTTAATATGTTGCAAAATCATTTTGGCACAAGAAATTACATTAACGTTTCAAAGAAATATTTGGTCATTAAATTGTTTTAACTTACTGAAAAGTAAGATGAGCTATAAAATAAATATCCATAAATCTACCAATTGGTTTTAGTAATTAGTATCAGTTTGCTATATTTGTTTGATCAATTTTTTGTCTTTTTATTCTCTTTCTCTCTCTCATAGTTGACCCTTTAACTAGGGGCACTGACCTCCCCAAACAGTCAGAAATTTGTGTATAGGCTGGGTGCAGTGGCTTACACCTGTAGTTCCAGCATTTTGGGAGGCTTGAGCCCAGGAGTTGGAGGCCAGCCTGGACAACATAGTGAGACCCTGTCTCTTATGAATTGAAAACACACACATATATAGATATATATATATTCGTGTATAACTTTTGTCTCCCCAAAAACTTACCTACTAATGACTTACTGTTGACCAGAAGCCTGATTGATAAGATAGTCAATTAACACATATTTTGTATTTTAGATGTGTTATATACTGTATTCTTATGATAAAATAGGCTGGAGAAAATTTTTTTAAAAAAATTTCTTTTTCTGTTTTTTCAACTGATGTCCTTGAGCCATAGAGAAATGAAATGTTATTAAGAAAGTCAGGCTGGGGCTGGGCACAGTGGCTCACACCTGTAATCCCAGCACTTTGGGAGGCCAGGGCAGGCGGTTCACTTGACACCAGATGGGGCTGGGCAACAGGGCAGAACCCCATCTCTACAAAAGTACAAAAATTAGCCAGGCATGGTGGTGCATGCTTGTAGTCCTAGCTACTCAGGAGGCTGAGGTGGGAGTACCACCTGAGCCCGGGGAGGTTGAGGTTGCAGTGAACTGTGATCATGCCAGTGTACTCCGGCCTGGGCAGCAGAGTGAGACTCCATATCAAATAAAGAAAAAAGAAAGTCAGGCTAGGCACGGTGGTGGTGCACACCTGAAATGCTAGCCCTTTGGGAGGCAGAGGCAGGAAGATCACGTGAGCGCAGGAGTTTTGAGACCAGCTTGGGCAATATAGGGAGACCTTGTCTCTACAAAATAATTTTAAGAAGTTAGCCAGACGTGGTGGCACACACCTGTGGTCCCAGCTACTCATAGGTTTGAGCTTGCAAGATCAGGTCTGCTGTAAATTGTGATATTGCCACTGCACTCTAGCCTGGGCGACAGAGCAAGACCCTGTCTTAAAGAAAAATAAAAGGAAGAAAATTATAAGGAAGAGAAAAAACATTTTCAGTACTGCATTGTATTTATCAGTACCAAAAGTTTATGTCAGCTGTTTACAAGATGAAACATCTGTCTGAAATGGTGGGCAACCCCAACTACAGGTGTCAATCTGTAATACATACCAAGCAATTCAGCTTTTTCTTATAATGTTAGGACTTTCCTCTGCTTCTTGGGAGTGCTTCCAGCATCATTAATGGCACTTTGTATGGGTCCCATGGTGTTATTCACAGTATTGCACTAAACATGATGAAAAATACAGGAGAACCATGAGAGGTCACCTTTTCTAAAACCTCTGCCGACATGCAGGCTCAAATTACCTCTTCTATGTAGAAATCTGTTTTTCCCCCATTTGTGATGCTATTCTTTGCAGTGCAGCTCCTTCCTGAAGACTTCCTCTAAAGTGGAACTAGCCAAACCTCCGCGTAGCCCACCTCTAAGTCTCTTTTGTATGTTGAGTTTCTAATTATTGATGCTAGTACTATAAAGTGAGGATACAATTATCGTGGCAGCCAGGAGTGAAATATTTGCAGAACATGATTTATTAATCATCTGTTTTACTGTTCAAAAATCTATTAGCCAGGACTTTCTGCTGTGTGTGTAAGCCTGATTTGTGGAATGAGAGAAGTTTGGAAGAGTCACAGTATAGGGATCTTCCTTTTAAGAGGGTATATGTTTCTAATAGAGGGATTTTAGCTGTATTATTTTGGTCTGTATCGTAAGTCTGCTTTTTGTTTAAGAAACAGAGAAAAATGCTTCCAAAGCAACAGAATTGGAAAATAAAAACCTCGGACCAGTTACAACAGCAGAGAATAAGGATCAGAGCAAATTGGCATGTGTACATGGTATCAAAGGGACCAGTATTTCTCCAGAAGTAAACCTAACTGAAAGGTAAAAGAGGGAAGGGATTCTGAGATTCAGTTTATATTGTTTCAGCGATAGCCTTAAGTTGTGACTCTTAAGAATTTGAAAAAGAAGTTCTGTTGCATTAAATATGTTTTAAAAGTTTGAAAACCATTGAATTAGATGATCTTTTACACACCTAGCTCTAAAAATAATTCCATGATTTGCCCAATTTCAAATGATATGCATTCTAAACTCTCTTTCAGAAATGAAAATCAAGAAGAGAGCTCTCAGGAGGTTCACATGTTGTCAGTTGCTCCAGTTGCTTCCTCTGAGACAGGGCCCTGCACACTTGGTTTGGATAGGGGTCTTGGTGAAAATTCTGTTGAAGAGGCCCAGATAAAAGACTCTAAAGGAGACAGTGTGCTTATACTTCCTGTGCCAGAGGTAAAAGAATGTACAATATAATAAGGGATAGCAAGGTGTTTCCCTCCATTAAAAAAAATAAATAAATGAAAAGGTATAATTTACATACAATACACTTCACTCTTTTATGTTCGTTTTTCTTTATTTCTTTTCTTTTTTTTTTTTTTTGAGACAGTCTTGGTCTGTTGCCCAGGCCGGAGTGCAGTGGTATGATCTCAGCTCACTGCAGCCTCTGCCTCCCAGGTTCAACAGATTCTTCTGCCTCAGCCTGCCAAGTAGCTGGGACTACAGGCATGTGTCACCGCAGCTAGCTAGGTTTTGTATTTTTAGTAGAAACGGGGTTTGCCATATTGGCCAGGTTGGTCTTGAACTCCTGGCTTCAAGTGATCTGCCTGCGTTGGCCTCCAAAAGTGTTGGGATTACAGGCATGAGCCACTGCACCTGGCTAACTTCACCCTTTTTAGTGTACAGTTCTTCAGGTTTTTATAACTATGCAGTCATATAACCAATACATGAACAGTTCCATTAAAAAGTTCCCCAATTGAGAGAAGCCTTGGACTTGAAGAACATGTATACATTATCCAGTTAAAGGGAAAGGAACATGTGTGTGTAAAGAACAGGTGTGGACCAGGTGCAGTGGCTCAAACCTATAATGCCATTTAAAAAAAAAAAAAAACCCAGGCATGGTGGCATTTGCCTGTAGTCCTAGCTACTCAGGAGGCTGAAGTGGGAGGATCACTTCAGCCTGGGAGGTAGAGGCTGCAGTGAGCTGTGGTCGCCATGCACTCCAGTCTGGGAGACAGAGTGAGACCCTGTCTCCAAGAACAAACAAGTATGAAATAGCATGTAAGTAGTATGAGTGGAATATTAATGAAGAAAGTGATTAGAGATGAACTTAGAAAGGTAACCTGCAGACAGACCATAAAAGGATTTTTATGACTTGATAAGGAGTTTGGTTACATTTGAAGTTACGAGATTCCTCACTCCACCCTGACTTTTTAATTTTTGCTTTTTGTTTTGAAATAATTTTAAACTTAGAGAAAAGTTACAAAATCTTACAAAGAATTATCCCATACACTTCATTTTGATTCATCAATAGTTAATACTTTGCCTCATTTGTTTTTTTACTCTGCCTTGCTCTCCATCTGTATAGATAAATACTTGGCTGGGTGGAGTAGCTCATGCCTGTAATACCAGTATTTTGGGAGGCTGAGGCGGGCAGATCACCTGAGGTCAGGAGTTCAAGAACGGCTTGGCAAACAAGGTGAAACCCCATCATTACAAAAATTAGCCAGGCGTGGTGGCATGCACCTGTAATCCCAGCTAGTTGGGAGGCTGAGGTGTGAGAATTGCTTGAACTCAGGAGACGGAGGTTGCAGTGACCAAAGATTGCACCATTGTACTCCAGCCTGGGCAACAGAACAAGACTCTGTCTCAAAAAAAAAAAAAAAAAAAAAAAAACCAAAAAAACTGAATCATTTGAAAGTAACTTGAGTCCATAAATACCTCATCTTGTATCTAATAAGGACAAGGAAGTTCTCTTACAGAGAAAGGACAGTACTGTTGTCACACTCAATATTACTACACTATGTAACATTGTCTCAGTGATATGTAATATACAGTTTCCATTCCAGTTTCCCTAGTTGTCCCAATCCTGTCCATTATAGCTTTTTTCTTTTTTAAACAGAGTCTTACTCTGTCAGCCAGGCTGGAGTGCAGTGGCACGATCTTGGCTCACTGCAACCTCCGCCTCCCAGGTTGAAATGATTCTTGTGCTTCAGCCTCCCGAGTAGCTGGGATTAAAGATGTGCGCCACCACACCTGACTAATTTTTTTGCATAATATTTTTAGAAGAGATGGGGTTTTGCTGTGTTGGCCAGGCTGGTCTTGAGCTCCTGGCCTCAAATGATTTGCCTACCTCAGCCTCCCAAAGTGCTGGGATTACAAGTGTGAGCCACCGCGCCTGGCCGGCTTTTTTTTTCTTTTTCTTAAATTCAAGATCCAATCCGGGCTCTCACATTACATTTGATTATCCTTTCTCCTTATTTTCCTTTAATCTAGAGTATTTTTCTTGTCTTTTTGTTCACAAAAGAAAAAGCAAGAAAAGTTTAGAACAGTCTAGGCTGGCCTACAATCTGGATTTCTTTTTTTTAATTGCTTCCTCATTACTAGATTCAACTTACATATTTTAGGGCAAGATTATTATATAGGTAATGACATGTTCTTCCTTTTATATCACATCGGGAGACACATGATGTCAGTTTGTCCCATTATTGGTAATGCTGACTGATCACTTGGCTAGAATGATACCTGCCAGCTTTCTTCATTATAGTGGCATCTTTTCCATTCTGTATTAGTAATTTGTCAAATGGGACCAACGCAGCAAGCTGTCACCCTGTAGTTTTAATATCCATTGATGATTCTTGCCTTAATGAATTATTGACATTGTTGGTTGCAAAATGAGAGTTTTAAGATTTTAAGCAGGCCGGGCGCAATGGCTCACACCTGTAATCCCAGCACTTTGGGAGGCCAAGGCGGGCGGATCACAAGGTCAAGAAATCGAGATCATGCTGGCCAACATGGTGAAACCCCGTCTGTACTAAGAATACAAAAATTAGCTGGGCATGGTGGCATGCACCTGTAGTCCCAGCTACTCGGGAGGCCGAGGCAGGAGAATTGTTTGGACCCAGGACGGGGAGGGGCGGAGGCTGCAATGAACTGAGATTGCGCCACTGCACTCCAGCCTGGCGACAGAGCAAGACTGTCTCAAAAAAATAATAATAATAATAAAATAAAATAAAAGATTTTAAGCAGTAGAAACCCAGCATAGTGTCTTACACCTATAATCCCCGCACTTTTGGGAGGCTGAGGTGGGCGGATCACTTGAGCCCAGGAGTTTGGGACCAGCCTGGGCAACATGGCAAAACCCCATCTCTACCCCCAAAAAATTTTTAAAAAATTAGCCAGGTGTGGTGGCATGCATCTGTACTCCCAACTACTCAGGAGGTTGAGGTGGGAGGATCGCTTGAGCCCAGGAGGTGGAGGTTGTAGTGAGCTAAGAGATTTTAAGCAGTAGAGAATTACAGTCAGGATTGCATTTTAGAAAAACCATGTTTGCGGTTTTTTGGAAAACAGATTGGAGGGAACCATACTGGATTCAGGGAAAGCAGTTTGCCTCCATTCACATGTCACCTGCTAATAGTACAAAGGCTGGTGTGATGGGAGTGGAGAAAAAGTTGTGGGGTTTGGGTCTCCCTATTCTGTCACTTCAAAAATCATTTCATAAAATGTACATATTTAACAATGTAGTCAGGATTCTTTGTATTAATATTTAAATGAATCAAAAGTTTATTGAAACAGCCTAAAGCTTCAAACACTTGAAAAGTATATATGGTTAGATGTTGTTGAGTTAATCTCTTCACTATATCATATTGACTTGGCCAACCTCACTCTTTCATTTTAATTTTTTATAGCAGTATACACCAACAAGTATTCCAGAAGTCCAACAAGAGAATATAATCAATCCTCAAGACCTAACAGGTATGATAATATGCTTCAGTGACATGTCATAGAACCTAATTGTATGATTTTTACCCCTTCTTTAACTATGGAAAAACACAAAACAGTTTTATTTTAGTCTATGCTGGCCTTAAATTTAAAAAGTTTTATAGAAACACCTTGAAGTATTTTGCATATCAGTTTTGTTTTTCAGAGTCATAAATCTTTTCCATAGTATATCACCTTTATCCTTTATGAAATTACTTCTTGGGCCGGGCATGGTGGCTCACTCCTGTAATCCCAGCACTTTGGGAGGCTGAGGTGGGCAGATCACTTGAGGCCAGGAGTTCAAGACCAGCCTGGCCAACATGGCAAAACACCGTCTCTACTAAAAGTACAAAACTAGGCAGGCATGGTGGCACACACCTGTAATCCCAGCTTCTTGGGAGGCTGAGGCACGAGAATCATTTGAACACAGGAGGCAGAGGTTGCAGTGAGCCGAGATTGTGCCACTGTATTTTAGCCTGGGCGACAGAGTGAGACTCTGTCTCCCCCAAAAAGAAAAAAAAAAGTAGGGAACTTACTTCCTCAGGCTTGGGGGTCGTGGCGGGGAGCATTTATTTATTTAATCTTGATGATAAGTTGTCCTGAAACTGTCTTTTTAGAAATGAAATAAATTAATGATATTCTGTTTTTTCATAGTTGAGCTTTTTTATTACTAACTTTTAAACTTTAATAGTGAATCTAGTTGCTAATGTACCTCAAGATGGAGAAGATGAACAAGCCTTTATTTTAACTCTGGTGGAAATTCCAACCAATGCAGTAGAAGAATTTACTGATGCCACTGCACAGTTCATGCCAAACCCTTTACTGCCAGCTCCCATATTGGTCAAATCAGTGAATACTGAAGAAAGAGGTGACATGAGGTAATGAATGAGCAAAACTGTTTTCGCTAGGAGGAAAAGTGATTTATGAATTAAGTAGTATTGATTGAACAAACCATTCACCAATATTAGTTGTTATTGTTGTGGAAATCTTATTTATCTTGTTGTGGAAATCTTATTTATCATTTATGTGGTAAGTTAGAGAAGAAATGTAATGTGGTAGATTTTATATCTGATAAAGATGCCACTTAAATGTTTCATGTATTAGTTTTGTATGAAACTTGCTTAAGTTATTTTGAAAGCTAAAAATATTAACAGTCTAGATCATAAAATGATACCTGTTAAAAGTGTGGTTACTTTGTATAGACACACACGTATGAAACTGTGAAATATACATTCACAGAAAGTTGTGAAAATAGTACAGTGGTAATAAATACAGATTTTTTTCTTAAGAGACAGGGACTTGCTTTGGTGCCTAGGCTAGAGTGCCAGGCTAAAGTGTAGTGGTGCCATCATAGTTCACTGCAGCCTGGAACTCCTGGGCTCAAGAGATCCTCCTGGCTGGATGTAGTGGCTTGCGCCTTTAATCTCAGTTCCTTGGGAGGCCGAGGTGGGAAGATCACCTGAGGTCAGGAGTTGAAGACCAGCCTGGCCAACATGGCAAAACTCCATCACTACTACAAATATAAAAATTAGCTGGGCACGGTGGCATACGCCTGTAATCCCAGCTACTCTGGAGGCGGAGGCAGGAGAACCACTTGAACCCAGGAAGTGGAGGTTGCAGTGAGCTGAGATTGCACCACTGCACTCTAGCCTGGGTGATAGAGTGAGAAAAAAGAAAAAAAGATCCTCTTGCCCCAGCCTTTCAAGTAGCTTCTCAGCTACAGATGCGGACCACCGTGCTTGGCTAATTTAAACATTTTTTTTTTTTTTTTTTTCAGAGGTGGAGTCTTGCTCTGGTACCCAGGCTTGTCTCGAATTCCTGGCCTCATGCATTCCTCCCACTTTGGCCTCCCAAAGTGCTGAGATTACAGGCATGAGCCACTGTGTCCAGCTATTCCTGATACTCTTATTTTTTTTTATTTTTATTTTTTGATGCTCTTAATTCTTTATTTTGGAAGTAAGTTGTATCTTAACCACCATTAATTAAGATAATTGTCCATAGTGTAGCATTAGAAATTGAAGACTTTTATATTTTTATTTTTGGAGACAAGAGTCTTGCTCTGTCACCCAGGTGGAGTGCAGTGGCGTGATCTCAGCTCACTGTAACCTCTGCCTCCTGAGTTCAAGTGATTCTCGTGCCTAAGTCTCCCAAGTAGCCGGGACTATAGGTGTGTGCCACCACACCTGGCTAATTTTTTGTGTTTTTAGTAGAGACGAGGTTTCGCCATGTTGACCAGGCTGGTCTTAAACTCCTGACCTCAGGTAATACACCTGCCTTGGCCTCCCAAAGTGTTGGGATTACAGGCGTGAGCCGCTGCGCCTGGACTAGAAGGGACATTTTAGGTTAAACGTTTAACTTTACAATCAGGGAAAATACTGTTAAATATTCAGATTTAATTCAATATTATGGAATTTAAGTTATAAGCCTTTAAGTATGAATGGAGCTCAAAACTATTAATAGCATTTTTGTGGCCATGGCCATGTATCTCTTTGTTAGTTTGGAGTTTTTTGGTTTTATTGGAATTTTCATTGGAATACCTCAGCCTTTAACCTTGTTATTGAAAGGATTTCTAGGATCATTAAAAAAAAAAGTATTAAATAACTTCTAATTCAGTGATTTAATATGTATTTCTTTTCTATGCAGTATTTGTTTACCAGCAACTTCAGTTGGTCAGGATGCCGTGGGTTTATCTATTTCTGGAAGAGATAATTCTAAAAAGCCTCTTGATAATTTGGATCTTATATCTAGGAAGAGATTTAAATGCAGACTTGATGAAAATGACCACATTCCTCCTGCCAAAAAATGTTCGCTCACTTTAAGAGATGATTGTCAAGAATATACCTCTGAGGTAAGGTAGAATCATTAAGTAAGATGGCCATATTGCAACAGATCTGTTTCTATTTTTTCCTTTATTCTCTTTAAACTTTTAGATATGTATAAAGTTAGTTCTGACATTTATCATCATAAGTTATTCAAGTAAAACTGGTTTTGGATTATCACTTTTAACCAGTGATAAATGAAAATTGATGGAGAGTAATCAAGAAACTTATTCCCAGCTCTGTATTGGTGGCTAAAAATAAGACCAAAAGCATTATATATGTCTGGATCTTGGCTCTACCACCTAGTAGTTGAAACACCTTAGGCAAGATACTTCACCTGTCTCTCTGATCAGGTTTCCTAATGCGTAAAATGGTAATACTAGTATCATCATCATCATGCTTAAAGCTACCCATTACTTTTAGGAGTAAAACCATAGTGTTTAGTGCCCCGTATTGTCTTGCTGATTTTCGTCTCTAGTCTCATTTTGTGCCAGCTTCTGCCTCACTTTCTGGCCACATTGGCCATCTTTCAATTCCTTAAATGTCCCAGGACACTTCATTTGATGTACCTTGTGTGTGCAACATTCCCTTGAAAAACATACAAACTTTTTTAGTTCAGTCATCGCTGCCTCAGGGAAGTCCGGCCAGACGATGCAAATTCAATCACCAACCTCTATGTTGTAGGTTTCCTAGTACCCTCTTATTTTTGTACTCACCTAGTACGCCTCATAATTTATAACTACACTATGGAAAAGACCATTTAAAATCTGTGTTCTCAAAGAGAAAGTTAAAGACCAATAGTTCTTGATTAATAGTTGACAAAGAGCAAATGTACTTTTATATATTTGGTGAGTCAAAAAATGGCATATCCCAGAATTGTTTTATTTTCTCTTGTTATGGGTAAGATTGAACATCTTTTCATATGCTTAGGAGCCATGTATATTTCCTTTTCTATGAACTGACTTTTCCTTTACCCATTTTTCAATTAGATTATTGATCTTTTTCTTATAGAACTGGCAGAACTCTGTTATATATGTCTGTGGTAATGAGGTGCAAATCTTTTTTCCCAGTTCGTCATTTGTCTCTTGACTCTGCTTTCTTTGTTGTTGTTTTCTCATGCAGAACTTTTGAATTAACTTTTTATATGAACATTTCCAGACATATTAAAAGATAGACTGGGTATAATATGTCCCCATGTGCCAGTCATCCAGTTTTGATAATTTATCAGCATTCCATGCAAGCATTATTTTGTTTTGTTTTAAAAATATCCTTAATGACATGGACAAAAGACCATAGTACTTTACTAAGTACAAAACTAGGTCACCAGACGATGATATGCCATTTTAAAAATGATAGTTATACAGTGGTGTGAATATGCAAAGAATGCAAAGATGATCTGACATTATGAAATCTAATACAAACCAATAGATCTGAGGAGAAAAATCATCTCTATTTACAGAAAAGGTACCCAATAATATTCATTCTTGGAAAAAACTTATAAAATGGAATAGACATTTTCTTAACACTATAAAATATAACTATTGCAATCTAAAAGCTAGCATCCCACGTAATAAACAATGGAAGTTTGTGATGTAGTAGTCTTTTGATGTGCTGCTTGTACTATTTCTTTGATACTTTTGCACTGATATTGAAACTGATTATAAAAGGCATTTAGCAGCTTTTTCTCTTCCAGTGGGCTCTGGAACACTTTAAAATAGTAGCAATATTTTTGCCATAAATGTTTAGTAGACTTCCTGTAAGAGCTTTTTGGGAGATAACATGGTTTCTTTACTTAAAGAAAAAAAGGAAATAAAATTAACTTCAGTTTTACTTGATAAATAGATTTCTAAATTTTTTTGTAAATTTTCTTAAAACAGGTGCACTCAAAGGAATTAACAAATGTTTTTGAGGAAACAGGTGAGATACATTTTAACATGATTGCATTTTGCTAAATACTCCTGATTATTTGGGATATACCTTGTTCAAATATGAGATTGAAACTGAATATTACTTTTCTGTAAGAGTAATACTTGTATTATTAGCACTTCTTTCCTGCAAAGGCCTTGGATTTGGCAGTTTGGTAGGCAAAAGAAGCTCTTTTCATCCTGTCATCAGTTGAAGACTATGTGGCTACAAGTATTTTCTATGTAAGCTCAATAACTACATTTTAGGAGTTAGCTGAGTGTAAGGGCTTTCCCCACCCCCTCACCCCGAGACAGGATCTCACTCTGTCACCCAGGCTGAAGTGCAGTGACACAATCACAGCTTACTGCAGCCTCCACCTCTCAGGCTCAAGCAATCCTCCCACCTCAGCCTCCTAACTAGCTGGGACTACAGGCATGTGCCACTATGCCCAGCTAATTTTTTTTTTTTTTTGAGATGGAGTCTTGCTCTGTTGCCCAGGCTGGAGTGCAGTGGCGTGATCTCGGCTCACTGCAACCTCCACCTCCTGGGTTTATGCCATTCTCCTGCCTCAGCCTCCCTAGTAGCTGGGACTACAGGCGCCCCCACCACGCCAGGCTAATTTTTTGTATTTTTAGTAGAGACAGGGTTTCACCGTATTAGCCAGGATGGTCTCAATCTCCTGACCTCGTGATCTGCCCGCCTTGGAATTTTTGTATTTTTTATAGAGACAGAGTTTCGCCATGTTGCCCAGCCTGGTCTTGAATGTACTTTTGTAGAGAGAGGGTTTTGCCATGTTGCCCATGCTGGTCTTGAACTCCTGGCCTCAAGCAGTCTGCCTGCCACAGCCTCCCAAAGTGCTGGGATCATAAGCATTAGCCACCACCTGTGGCCTATAATGGCATTCATAATAGGTTCTTTACCCGGAAAATTAGTTTTGTTCTAGAGATCTTTTCAGGCTTAAGCCACCTACGGAAGCTGAAAAGATCTTAGAGTCTTCTATTTTTATAGGAATCTAAAATTTCTGTGGGACATTAAACCACTTAGGGTCTATTTCCCTCATGACTAAAGGCGCTAGTCACATTTATCCTGTGTTTTGTACAACTCTTTATTTTTCATTTCTTTTATGACATCATTTCTCTTTTCTCTCAAACTTAGGCTTATCATTCATACATATAGCCACTGCTTTACCATGACAATGGCACTCAAGGATAAAAATGTTGCTGATGGCATCTTACAAGAGTTAGAGTTACAAGATGGAAGGGTTTGATAACCTATGATGGTTCTGGTTCTTTAAAAACACTTAATAATGGGCCAGGCGCAGGGGCTCATGCCTGTAATCCCAGCACTTTGGGAGGCTGAGGTGGGTGGATAACCTGAGGTCAGGAGATCAAGACCAGCCTGGCCAACATGGCGAAACCCCATCTCTACTAAAATACAAAAAATTAGCCAGGCCTGGTGGTGGGCGTCTGTAATCCTAGCTACTTGGGAGGCTGAGGCAGGAAATTGCTTGAACCTGGGAGATGGAGGTTGCGGCAAGCCAAGATCATGCCACTGCACTCCAGCCTGGGTGACAGAGCAAAACTCTGTCTCAAAAAACAAACAAAAAATACTTAACTGAGCGTGGTGGCTCACGCCTGTAATCCCAGCACTTTGGGAGGCCGAGGCAGGTGGATGATCTGAGGTCAGGAGTTGGAGACCAGCCTGGCCAACATGGCAAAACCTCCTCTCTGCTAAAAATGCAAAAATTAGCTGGGCGTGGTGGCAGGCACCTGTAATCCCAGCTACTTGGCAGGCTGAGGCAGGAGAATCACTTGAACCTGGGAGGCAGAGGTTGCGGTGAGCTGAGATTACACCATTGCACTCCAGCCTGGGCCACAAGAGCGAAACTCTGTCTCAGAAACAAAACAAAACCAAAAAACCCACACATTTAATGGGCTGAGCGTAGCGAGCGTAGTGGCTCACACCTGTAATCCCAGCACTTTGGGAGGCCAAGGTGAGTGGGTCCCTTGAGGTCAGGAGTTCGGGAGCAGCCTGGACAACATGGTGAAACACTGTCTCTACTAAAAATACAAACATTAGTTAGACGTGGTGGTGCATGCCTGTAATCCCAGCTACTCAGGAGGCTAAGGCGAGAGAATTGCTTGAATCCGGGAGGCAGAGGTTGCAGTGAACCGAGATCACACCACTGCACTCCAGCCTGGGTGACAGAGCAAGACTCTGTTTCAAAAAAACAAAAACAAAAAAACTCTTATAATGTTAATACGGTCTTAGACTTAATTGTCCCAACTTTGACTGTGAAACTGTAATATGGTTACAGTTTACAGCCTCTAGAGATGTTCTAAGATTGCTCCCATCCATCTGCTCTCCAATAAAAGCATTAAGCAAACTACAATACAGTGAAGTGTTAGTGAATTTGTTATATGCTGTCTTTAATTAGGTTGTTTCTTTTAGCAGGTGTACTTATCAACTTCATTCTCCCTTCACAGAGCTAAAGCGCTCTCTTTGAGAACAAGGCCTTAGCTATACTGAGGGAAAACAGGTTTTTTTATTGAGTAAGAAAGCTTTAGTTATTTTGTCCTAATCCTTGGCTACTTTGGTTTTGTCTGCTATTTAGTTGAGGAAAGAGAATTCTTTAGCTAAACTTGAGGATTTGAGAGTCTGTAGGTTTTACTTTTCAGGAGACCACAGGTACCTGAGTTACCACCTATATTTTGGATTGGTTTGGTTTCTAAATTTTAACAAACCTTAGATTTTTTAGAAAGTAATCACTCCCGTTGTGATTGCTCAAGAAATATTTCTGGGAAAAGATTTTCTAGGCCAAAATATATTGATACAACTATTTTGTTTCTGAATGCAGAAGCTGTTAGCATACCTTTTAACCAATTATAATAATAATAATCCAGATAACTCCACTAATGATAATTTAGCTTACTCTTAATAGGGTAGGTTTATTATAGAATACCATGGGTTTCTTGGTCAAATTTTGGGATTACATGGAATGTATTAACATCAATATCCTTGCTTTCTACTTGCTCTTTTTTTTGAAGGGGAGTCTCACAAAGGACAAGATATTTTTCCTACCTCGGGAAGCACACTGACAACTCCAGAACCTCAAAGACAGCAAGTTGAACCAGCTTTTCAGAGTAGAGGATCTAGATCTCCTGATGCATGCATAGACAAGAATGTGCCTCAGTTACCTCAGGATGAAATGATTGTGTCTGATAAGGAAGAAAGAACTGATGCTGCTCCTAAGTCTGAGCAAATGGATAACAGAACATCATCTTCTAAAGCCCCATTATCCAGGTACCATGAAAACATATTTAATAAGTGTTGTGCTCTCTGTCTTAATAAATATAACCTATACAGAACAGATATATATATATATCAAGATTAGATCCAGTACTAAGGATGGTGTTTAATAAACATATTGCTCCATCAGTAATGTAAAGGAAGAAGTTTCAGCCAAGGAAATATAGTAATATTGCAGATACACGTTTTGTACAATAAGAGCTTAAATTTAAGTGCTGAAACTTTGTTTTAGATAGAAAATCTTTAGAATGTTTTATACACTTATTTTTTTAGATTGTTCATGGTTATTTTGATCATTACATATTCATTACATTACATATTCTACCATGTGCAGTAGCTACTAATGCACATATATATGGATGCTGACATCAGACGTTGTTTTATTGAAGTCTCAAATAATGTGTCAGTTTTCTCCCTTGTAACAAACCAAAGAGGTAAATTATGGCTTTCTGTCCATAAGAATAAGTGTTGGAATTTAAGCAAAAGCCAACTTCTCTCACATTTTTCTCATATTCTAGAAATAATGGTTATCAATAATTATTGGCTTGTCAGCAGCATCCAGAAGATTAACGTGGTGTTGCTGAATTGAAGGAGGTGGGGGAACATGCACTAGTCTCCACTAAGGGGAAGGGTTGGGGGAAAGGACACATGTAGCTTAAAAGACATACTTAATAGATCTGTTGTTTTTGTTATCTAAATTATTGAAAGTAAAGCTCAGTAGTATCTCTTCTGGCCTTAGAGATGCGCTGAAAATAGAATGATTCCCAGGTACAGTGGCACATGCCTGTAATCCCAGCTACCCAGGAGGCTGAGGCCGGAGTTTGAGATTGCAGTGAGCTATGATTGTGCCTGCGAATAGCCACTGCACTCCAGCCTGGGCAACATAGCCAGACCGGTCTCTGAAAAAAGGAAAAAAAGGCTGGATGTGGTGGCTTATGCCTGTAATCCCAGCACTTTGGGAGGCTGAGGTGGGCGGATCACCTGAGGTTGGGAGTTCCAGACCAGCCTAACCAACATGGAGAAGCCCCATCTCTACTAAAAATACAAAATTAGCTGGGCATAGTGGCACATGCCTATAATCCCAGCCACTCAGGAGGCTGAGGCAGGAGAATCGCTTGAACTCAGGAGGTGGAGGTTGTGGTGAGCCAAGATTGTGCCATTGCACTCCAGCCTGGGTAACAAGAGTGAAATTCCATCTCAAGAAAACAAAAAGAAAGAAAAAATAAATAAAATGAGGGAACCATCATGAGAGCTGGGATTAAAACAGGTTGAGAAGCAGTGTTCTAGAACAGAAGTCAGCATTTTTTGTAAAATGGCATTTGTACATATTTTCGGCTTTGGGAGCCATATGGTCTCTGTTAACAGCTATTCAACTCTGCACTTACAGCACAAAAGCAACCACAGACCATATGTAAACAAATGAACATAGCTGTGTTCCAGTAAAACGTACTCACAGAATTGGGTCGGGGACTGCATATGGCCTGTAGAGCATACCATGCTGACCACTGTTCCACAGCCTTGCTACTCAAAGTGTAGTCCTGACAACAGCAGTATGGACATCATTTGAGAACACTTGTTAAAATGCAGAACTCAGGCCATGCCCACTACCAACTGTGCGAATCTTCTTTTTAATAAGATCACCAAGTGATTTGAATGCTAGAGATGTTCTAGAGACCAGGGTCCTGCTAATTTTGTGTAAGCTGTTCTTGAGCTCCTAGCCTTAAGCGGTCCTCCCACCTTAGCCTTGCGAAGCAGAAGCAGTTATTAAGGATGTGTCTTGGCCGGGCACAGTGGCTCACGCCTGTAATCCCAGCACTTTGGGAGGCTGAGGTGAGAAGATCACGAGGTCAGGAGTTCGAGACCAGCATGACCAACATGGTGAAACTCCGTCTCTACTACAGCTGCTTGGGAGGCTGAGGCAGGAGAATATCTTGGACCCGAGAGGTGGAGGTTGCAGTGAGTCGAGATCGTGTCACTGCACTCCAGCCTGGGTGACAGAGTGAGACTGTGTCTCAAAAGAAAAAAAAAAACAAAGGAATGTGTCTTCCTGGATATTCTTGACTATCTTTACATTTGTATTTCTAGACCTGGCAGAAGACCCCTGGGATTTTTATCTTTAATATGTTCAAAGAATAGTTTGGAGTCTGACGAACCTATGCAGGTCCATAGTAAGAAACGCCTAAAACCTCTTATACCTGCATTAAGACAGAAATTGAAAAGATCTAATCCATTCAATGAAAGCCAGAAAAAAAATCAAGATTCCTCTGATCCGCTTCCATCTCCAAGTGTTATTAATACTCAATCTAAGAATATTAGCAGCTCAGCAACTCAGGTATGTGATAACTACTGTATTTTATTGTTTGTATGAGATGGGTTGGTTATGAGATTCGACTAGGGAAAACATAGTAATTTGTTATTTTTATTTGATGTCAGAAATTATTTTAGGGCAACTCCCATCCTTCTCTCCATCGTGTTCCTCCATAATGGAAGAAGAAAAGGTGTTGAGTCAGGAAGTTACAGTTAAGTTAGTACAGAGCCGTTAAACTAACCATAAATGGACACTTAATAGCCATTCCTTTAATCTAGAGACCCTTCTGACTTGTGGAAGCAAAAGGAAGCAGTGCTGACACCCACAAGAATTTAAGGAACTGTAAAACTAGAATTTGTTCACATGTTTCATTTCTATGTCTCCTGAAGCTATCCAATGGCAAGTATTGGGATGGAAAAATCTGTAAACCTGTATCAAAGACTTTGTAAAAATATTGGGGTGACTTAAGATCTCAACATAGAAAAGGCTGGTGAGCATCTGTTGAATAGCATGAGCCTTTGAAAGGGGTACTTTTGTAAAGAATATCTTTAAACTTTTTTAAACATTTTGTATTATTTGTTAGAATTATTTTCTGAGATCATAGATTTTATCAGTCTTGCTTATCATTGCCAAAGTTGTGAGTTTTTTTGTTGTTGTTGTTTTGTTTTGAGACAGAGTCTCACTCACTCTGTCACCCAGGCTGTAGTGCAGTGGCGTGATCTTGGCTCACTGCAACCTGCATCTCCTGGGTTCAAGTGATTCTCCTGTCTCAGCTTCTCGAGCAGCTGAGATTACAGATGCATGCCACAACACCCAGCTAAGTTTTGTATCTTTAGTAGAGACGGGATTTCACCATGTTGGCCAGGCTGGTCTCAAATGCCTGGCCTCAAGCCATCTGCTCGCCTCGCCTCCCATAATGTTGGAATTATAGGCATGAGCCACTGCGCCTGTCCTGTAGTAGTTATTATATTCAGGGAAAAAGGCCCTTTGTGATAAAGACTGCAATTTTTTTTTTTCTCTGTATGTCATTTGTCTTTTGATTTTGTGTATGGTGGTTTTTGCCAAGCAGACATTTTTTATTTCTGTTTAGATTAATTTGTCAATCTTTTATAGCTTTCTGCTTTCAGGTAGTTTAAAAAGGTACTCTTCCCAACTGGGTGCAGTGGCTCACACCTGTAATCCCAGCACTTTGGGAGGCCAAGGCGGGCGGATCACCTGAGGTGAGGAGTTCGAAACCAGCCTGGCCAACATGGCAAAACTCCGTCTCTATCAAAAATACAAAATTTAGTCAGGCATAGTGGCATGCGCGTGTAGTCCTAGCTACTCGGGAGGCTGAGCTAAGAGAATTGCTTGAATCCAGGAGTTGGAGGTTGCAGTGAGCTGAGATCATCCCATTGCACTACAGCCTGGCTTTGTCTTGAAATAAATAAATAAATAAAAAGATACCCTTCCCCACCTACCTCCGTCCAGAATTATAAAACTGTTTTTCCATGGCATTTTTTACAGTAGAGTTTTTTAAAAAATACTTTTATATTTAAATCTTTTGATCCATCTAGAATTTGTTTTGGTAAGCTATAGGTCTGACTTTTTTCCCCCTGAGATGGTTATATAGTTGTCCAACATCATTTATTTAATAATATAATAACTGTTTTTGATATAGCACGTTTATCAGATGCTAAGTTTCTGTATATATTGGGGTTATTTCTAGTTTTCTGTTTCATTGATAAATCTGTCATTCCCATGCCAATACCATGCTGTCTTAATTTGTTTATAGATTTGTAAGTATGCTAATTTCTGATAAGGTATCTTTGATATGTTATCTTTAGGTGCTGTTTTGTTTCATGGGTCTATTTTTTTTTTTTTTTTTTTTCTGGCTAGTTTTTTGTATTTTTTAGTAGAGACGGGGTTTCACCGTGTTAGCCAGGATGGTCTCGATCTCCTGACCTCGTGATCCGCGCGTCTCGGCCTCCCAAAGTGCTGGGATTATAGGCTTGAGCCACCGCGCCCTGGCTAGTTTTTTGTATTTTTTAGTAGAGACGGGGTTTCACCGTGTTAGCCAGGATGGTCTCGATCTCCTGACCTCGTGATCCGCGCGTCTCGGCCTCCCAAAGTGCTGGGATTATAGGCTTGAGCCACCGCGCCCAGCCGGGTCTGTCTATTCTTATGCAACTAATTGAAGTATTTTTACTTTAATCATTTAGTGACAGATTTAACTGTATTTTTCTTTATTAAAATTGTTCATGGAAATTAGGATGAAGTAATGGACTATGGGTACACTATGATTAATTATATCTAGTGTGGTATATTTAGTTGCTTCCAATTTTATTATTATAACTAATGCTACAAAGGTTATCTTAGTCATAAAACTTACTACATTTAGGATTATTTACTCTATGTAACAGCATAGAAATGAAATTTTTGGGTCAGTGATTGTGAACATATTTAAAGCTCAGTATTTATTGCCACATTGCTTTTCAAACAGATCATATCAGTTTAGACTGCTATACACACACACACATATATATGTAAATGTATTACAGTTTTATTTTACTTTATTTTTATTACCTTTTTAGGTTTCTTGTGATCAGCCCTTACTGAAAGAAGGACATAAAAGTGCCCAAAAGCGGGCCCCTCAAGGGGAGCCAACCACAGTCTCTGAATATTTCTTCAATGATATCTTCATTGAAGTGGATGAAACAGAATAAAACAGTCTTTTGTCTTTTTCTTTTTTAAATTAGGTCTAGGATTTCCAGAGTCAATTACATCAACAAAACAGTATTTAGAGCAAAATATCACTGTCTATTTTTCTTTAGGTTGATTTTGAATATTTAATGAGCTTGATTTGAAGCTTTTATAATCAGTGGAAAACATTTCTGAGGTTCCTCTCATTCTGATTGATTCAGCATTTTGCAAATAGCAAGCAATTGAGACTGCTTTCTCAGACAGATGTTGTTTACATTTTGACTCTTTCTGTGCTAAGCACACATGGACATTTGGGAATGCTGTGGATATATGTCTCTGTATGAATTGCAGTGCAGACAGATTTGGGGGTTAATTGTATCGTATTTAACATTTAGCAACTTCTTTTGTGAAGATTTTTTATTTTTAGGGGGAGATGATGAAGGATGAAGCCTTTTCCGTTGCTTTATGTACAGTCATGTATCACATAATAATGTTTAAGTCAACAATGGACCACATATATGACAGTGGTCCCATACAATTAAAATGGAGATAAAAAATTCCTATCAACTAGTGACATTATAGCCAACATAACACAGTGCGTTGCTTTTTTATGTTTAGATATGTTTAGATACACAAATACTACTATTGTGTTACAACTGCCTACAGTATTCAGCATAGTAACACATTGTAGAGGTTTGTAGCCTAGAATCTCTAAGATATACCACATAGCCTCAGTCTGTAGGGTGTGTCGCAGTCTGTACCATCTCAGTGTTTGTAAGTACACTCTGTGTTGTTCCACACAAGATCACCTAACAAGGCATTTCTTAGAACATACAGTAAGGGACACGTGACTATATGTGTAAACAAATTGTCAAACTTCACTTTAGTATGGTAAATGTTAAAGAACTTTTCTATTATCAGCTGTTTGTCTGACTAAAAAATACATATTTTTCTAATTCATGGTGATGTAACATTAGTCCTCATTGAAAAACTAGTATTTAAACATAATTATTTATAAAGATGACACATCAAAGAGCTTATTTATTTTTAAATTTTTTATTTAAAAGGATATTCAGTTTTAGCTATTTTCACCCCTCAGATTGTAGATAAGGAAGGCATTAACAAATTTATGTTTGTCTCCTTTTTCTCTTTAATTTTAAAGATATTTGAAATGCTATAACTAAAAATGTTTGGTGTATATGTTTTGAATACCTTTTTTCCCTCAGTTTAGTATATTGACTTTGTACTGTGAATTTTTCTGTTTTTCTTCTTTCTTGGATAATCTCAGGATTTTCATGAGGGTGGGGGAACTCAACTTTATTTATTAGACAGAATTTCCATACAAAGTTCAATCTCCTTTATACACACACAGACATATATTAGTTTTTAAAAAGCCAACTTCTTCATAGTTTTTTCTCAATTCTCAAGGAACACTTAGATCTTTAAGCGTGGAACATAATAGTGATGTTAAAAACAGAGAAAATAAGGCTTTATAAAGTTAATGATTATCATCAATATGAATTTAAGATTTGTTTTAATTTCAAGATTTAATGATTTACATGTGTATTTCTATTATCTACCCAAGCAGATCTGTAGTGGTTCCAATTAGACTTCTCAAACAGCAAATTTATCCTGATTTTATTTGAAAAGCCTCTTGGAATGATAATATAGTAGCTCAGGAGTTGGAAACTTTCTGCAAACTATTTTGGGTTTGCAGGCCAGATGGTCTCTGTGGCAGCTACTCAGCTCTGCAATTTCAGTGTGAAAGAAGCCATAGACAGTACTTGAACGAAGGACTGTGGCTGGATTGGCCTTTTAGTTTGACCCCTGCATTAGGCCCCAAATTTTCTTACCCTGAGGTGCTGATATCTGTATGTATGAGTTATTTGTCACTAAAGTTATGAGTTGTGCCTAAAAGTTAAAACTGTTGATTGTATTATATAATGATCAGTGTTTCAATTGGGAAGATATTTTAGAGTCTAGATAATTATGTTTGTATATTGAAAAAATGGTGGCCAGTTTTTAAGCTCCTTAATAGAAGAGAATTATGTCTCAGCAGGTATAACAGTAATGCTAATTTATTGAAACTACTGCTGTTAGAGCACTTCTTATTCATTGTCTTTTAGTAAAATTTATGACATAACATTTTGTCAGAGAGGAGGCTATATAATTTGGAGTGGAAATTGTAAGTAGGCATTTATTTCGTGATTGATATGTCACAGAAATTATGGTAGTAAATCACATTGCTATTTTAATACCCTGTTTATGTAAGTTTTTAAAACTCATATTCTGAAAATATTTCATTCTCTTAGTGTTAGTTTGGGAGTTAGATTGCCATGATTAAACTGTTATTTATCCTTGTGTAATATAATTTTTAACCTTAACATCTGTCTCTTTTTAATCTATAATCTAGTTTTATGGAAGATAGAATTTCTTACTATATAAAGAATACAAAGACTCATTGTATTAGAGAATCAAGTCAGCCAGCTAAATTATCCTACTGTTATATCCTTAAACCTGATTTTGGAAAAAAGAAAGTTAATCAGTGTATTTACCTTACATGGTGGAAAGAACTATGTTAGGTCTGATTCATGTAAAGAAGATGTTGCAAAGAATTTATTTCACAAATCTTAATGGAGATGTGAGTAAAAGTTTTTATCTTTTCTTGACTTTTTCTCCTGAACACTTATGTCTTAGCAAGTGGTCAGCATGAGGGTTTGAACGCCTAATTGTTGGTAAATGGTTGAGGCATGACAAAAATACTAATATCCACTGTTTATCATCATGTTATTTGAAACAAAAGTGACCATGTATACTATCTTGCTTGAAGAAGTCTTTGACAGAAAAAGCAATATCATGTCATTTATAAATTTTCTTGTTCTAAAGAAAGCAGTTGTATATATATAAATTATGTAAATAAAAGTTATTTTATACCATTTCTGTTGTGTCTTTTTAAGATGACTAAATAAAGAATTGGCTGGGTATCGTGGCTTACTCCTGTAATCCCAGCACTTTGGGAGGCCGAGGTAGGAGGATCACTTGAGCCCAGGAGTTCAAGACCAGCCTGGGCAACATAATGAGACCTCATCTCTACAAAAAAATTAAAAATCAGCCAACTGTGATGGGGTGTGCTTTTGGTCCCAGTTACTCAGGAGGCTGGCATGAGAAGATCGCTTGAGCCCAGGAGGAGGTTGAGGCTGCCGTAAGCTGTGATCGCCCCATCACACTCCAGCCTAGATGACAGAAGACGACCCTGTCTTCGTGGGGAGGGGAAAAGTTTTTGACAGGTGTGCATATCCTTATTTCAAAGCTGTAGGAGTCTGCAATGTGATTGTCCTAATAGTATTTGGAAGAGACTTCACACAGCATCTCTGTTTGCTACAGCATCGCATCCTGAGTCTGCTGGAGAATCCTGTCTTACATTGGGTTTCACTAACAATCGGCTGTCTTCTGGGTTACCCAGGAAATAGGTTGGGGTGGTATTCCCAAATATATTTTATCCCAAATTCAAAGGGCCTCTTCGAACATTGTTGCTTCTGTCATCATGAAGGCCAGTGCAAGGTGCAGAATCTTGTCTACCCTCTCCCTACTGCCTTTGTTTAAGAGACGGGGTCTCAGTTTGTCACCCAGGCTGGAGTGTGGTGGCGTGATCATAGCTCACTGCAGCCTCGAACTTCTGGGTGCAAACAATCCTCCCAGAGAGGTGAGCCATCATGCCTCGGTAGCTTGTTCTTCCCTTTAAAAATAGATCCCACGTCCTCAGACCACTAGACCCTTAGGAGATTTGCCTATGAGACAGGCTCCTGAACTTTAGCAGGATTTACCTCCCAACCTCTTACGTGTGTATGTCTTCCTAAGATATCTAACTGCTTGCTAAGTCCTGCATTCCAGCTCCAGTTAGCATAATGTTATCCCTGTCACATTTCATTTTTTGTCAAAAATCGAGAAAATACAAGTCTCACCAGACTATATTCTGAAAGAAAATGAGGGTATTCATATCACTTTGAAGTAAGTAAAATCAGTTGTCCCTGCCATATAAAAATGCAGGTTCTTTTAGTTTTTCTCACCGGAATGGAAAGTGTTGCATTTTTTTCATGCCACTGGCTTTATTCCAGGTATTAGGAGTTGTGTTGATTTGGTCTAATAAAGGTACCAATCTTGAACTGCAGCTGTGATTGACATCATCATTTGTTAAATCTGTGAGAACTTATTGTCATTCCCCAAGACCAGTGGTTCCCAAACTTTATTGCACATCAGACTCACCTGGGAAGCTTTAAAAAGTTTCTATGTCCGAGTTCTATCCCCTATTGTTAATCAGTGTCTGGGTGCAGTGGCTCATGCCTATTATCCCAGCATTTTGGGAGGCTGAGGCAAGACATAGCGAGACCTCATCTCTACAAACAAAACAAAAACTAGCAGAGCATAGTGGTGTGTGCCTGTGGTCCCAGCTACTGGAGAGGCTGAGGCAGGAAGATCGCTTGAGCCCAGGAGCTCAGGGTTGCAGTGAGGTATGATCACGCCAGCCTGGGTCACAGAGTGAGACCCTGTTGCTAAAAAACATTAAAAAATAATAGGGCCAGGCACAGTGGCTCATGCCTGTGATCTTAGCACTTTGGGAAGCCGAGATGGGAGGATCACTTGAGCCCAGGACTTTGAGACCAGCCTGGGCAACATGGCAAAACCCCTTGTCTACTAAAAATGCAAAAATTAGCCAGGCGTGCTGGCGCGTGCCTGTGGTCCCAGCTACTGGAGAGGCTGGGGTGGGAGGATCACTCGAGCCCGGAGGTGGAGGTTGCAGTGTGCTGAGATTGTGCCACTGTACTCCAGCGTGGGTGACAGGGAGATCCTGTCTCAAAATAAGTAGAAAACACACACACACATCGCAGTGCCTGGGGATGGACGTCAGACATCACCATTTAAAAAGAAATCTGCAGGTGATTCTAAGGTGCAACACCAACACCACACAAAACAAAAAAATGTGAAACATTGTTCGGGACCCGTCTGACTTTAACAACTGGCCAAGCTGGTGAGTCAAATGGAAATGTAGTAGGAATCAACAGATCCCACTCACTATGTGGGTCAGAGAACGGGGGTGGTTTAAACCTTCTATTTGGCCCGCCCTTAATGCCTTATCTCATGGGTTAAGGAAACAGTGTGATGACTCTGCTGTATCCTACCTCTATGCATTCTGGGACTGAGGAAATAATTACAGGATGGGCTCCTGTGAGAAGTCAGACCAAGAATCCATCTTTCATGCAACCTCCATTAGCCTTCACTCTGAAAACCGGATCATACAGGCTTTTCAGCTCTCTGGAAATCAGTATCATTTCAGAGTCACTATCTTAATAACCGTGAAATAGCTGAGCATTTCTGATTCCCCAGTGCAAAGTCCCTGATGAATAACCATAGTTCTATCTGCAGAAGGCTTGGGGGAAGATTAATGGTATACCCATGAAGCCACAATTACAAAATCCTTCCTCAGGGGCTCCCATCCGCCCCCTCAGTCCAGGGACTTTGGGTCTATAACCTGATTTATTTAGTCTGGAAACTGGATATGAGGCTGTCTCCACTGTGGAGACTTGAGTTTGGTTCTTGCACAACAGACCTAGAATTGTTTTGTCTATAGGTGTCATGCAACACTTTAGAAGGCTGTCTGTTTAACAGGAACCTTGGGGTCAATTAGCCATTATCACAGATCCCCACATGTAAAAATACACTATGTCAATCCTTTGCTATGGCTTATTATAATAATTGTGCCCATCTGGTCTAAAACAGTTCGGCATTGCTGCCTGGCTTCTTCCAGTATTCCCACTGAGGTCAGGGGACCTAATTCCTTGGCAGTACCTCTCACCATCATCTCCAGCCTGCAAAGGACAGCCATCGTAGTGGCTGCATCAACTCTTCGAAGAGGCTGATGCTTCTGTTACCAAGACTTTAAAGAAAAGAGTGTCCTCCAGGCCCTCTTTGGAGTTATGGTTAGGGGGTGTCTGAATAAGATGTACATAAATATAGCCAGTCCCCCTTTATCTGCAGGTTCCATATCCTGAGATTCAACCCACCAAGGATCAGAAATATTTGAAAAATAAAACATAACAAAATACAACTATAACAAATAATACAAACAAAAAATAAGTATGACAATGATTTACATAGCATTCATATTGTATTAGGTATTATGAGTAACCTAGAGATGATTTAAAGTATATAGAAGGATAGTGCTATGTTATATGCAAATACTATGCCATTTTATTTTTTGAGACAAAGTCTGACTCTGTCGCCCAGGCTGGAAGGCAGTGGCGCAATCTCAGCTTACTGCAGCTTCGGCCTCCCAGGCTTAAGGGATCCTCCTGCCTCAGCCTCCCAAGTAGCTGGGACTACAGGTGCATGCCACCATGCCCAGCTAATACTTATATTTTTTGTAAAGATGGGTTTTTGCCATATTGCCCAGCTGGTTTTGAACTCCTGAGCTCAAGTGAACCACCCACCTTGGCCTCCCAAAGTTCTGGGGTTACGGGCCTGTGCCACCACACCTGGCCTCTGGAACCAGTTTTTCTCAGATACCCAGGGACAACTGTAATCCATTCTAACATCCTCATTTTCCTGAGTCTTCAGATGGCTTCTTGTACATGGCTTTCTCTGTATAGTAGTGAGCATCAGAATCACCTTGGAGGGCTTATTAAACACAGATTGCTGGGCCCCAATCCCAAAGTTTATTTATTTTATTTAATTATTTATTTTTGAGAAGGAGTTTCACTCTTGTTGCCCAGGCTGGAGTGCAATGGCACGATCTCAACTCACTCCAACCTCCACCTCCTGGATTCAAGCAATTCTTCTGCCTCAGCCTCCCGAGTAGCTGGGACTACAGGCAGGCACCACTATTTTGTATTTTTAGTAGAGGTGGGGTCTCACCATGTTGGCCAGGCTGGTCTTGAACTCCTGACCTCAGCAGGTCCGCCTGCCTCAGCCTCCCAAAGTGCTAGGAATATTGGGAGCTGAAAAGGCCAAAGGAATCTTGACCAACTCAGCATTCCACTGAAGGCTATATGATGAAAGAGCAAACTGTTCATCATGAATACAGAATGTGAGCAAACTCGCTTCTGTGCCTGCCCCAGAGGGTTTGCTGAGGGCTATCACTCCCTGGCCCCAGCTCCTTGAGGTTACCTACTGGGACATCTAGAGCCTATTGTTCGAGGAGTGCAGTCTTGCAAGCCTGCTCTGGACCGAGCAGCTGACCTCTTCTTCCACACCCCTTCTTGCTGTCTCTCTTGCCTAACAGCGGAGGGCTGTGTAAAGCTCAGGGCCCTTGTCCACTAGAGGCAAGGTGTCCCCTGACCCTTCTTCCAAACATATTCTTTTGTCTGTTGTCTTTATTCCTGCATTCATCCCCCTTTGTTCGGTCCCCCAGGGATCCTGGCAGGCTACAAGTGGTATCCTGAACAGCAACAGAATCAAGTGCTCTACAGGATTACAGGCATGAGCCACCACTACAGGCCCCAATCCTGAAGTTTATGATTCAGCAGATCACGGGCCTAAGTTCCCAGGTGAGGCTGATGCTGCTGGCTTGTGAGCACAATTTGAGTATCACTGTTTTATAGCAGATTCTCAAACTTGGCTGCCTACTGGAATCACCTGAGATGTTTAAAAGAATACTCATTCCTAGGTTCCAACATCAGAAATGATAGTTTAAGTGGTATGGAGTGCTTGGCTTGGGATTCCTTTAAATAGCTTTATTGGCTACATTTGACACACAACAAACTGCATACATTTAGAATACAATTAAATTTTGATACATGTGTACACCCATAAACCATCACCACCATAAAAATAATACATCCATCATTTCCAAAGTTGCCTCTTCTACCCTGGCCTCCTGCTCCTCCCTCTCTCCTGAACACCTCCCAGATCCCAAGGTAACAATCTGCTTTTGGTCACAATGGA